TTGGATCGTAGTCTGGTCAAAGTTCGTAGATGTCACAATCGTAGTAGCGTATTCATGATAACTGTGACTTGGCAAAATTTTACCTGTCATTTGTAAGTATTGTCATGTGTATGATAACGATGCTATGACGCCATGATGTGATCGTGAGTTTGCAGAATACAGTTGCTATCAGCTCGAGAACATGTGAGAGTTATGCAGATTGGGTGCTCACAGATTAGTTTTATAGATAAATCTGTGAGAATGATCAGCCTCTGTAACATGCACTGTCATTTAAATGATGAAATACGCGTGGTCACTGTCGACAGTGAACATGAAATTATTTCAGCAAAGTGGTAAGAATCAAGGGCCTGGATACTTCATGCTTTTCCCCCAACGAAACGCAACTAGCGTGACATCTCAAGAGTACTCTAAACCTTTGCTTAAAAGATAATACTCTCTATTCAAGTATCTCGCGTCCCTTCTCTTCGTAAGATTATGTACAATGCATGTTTGTATATACCTCAATACAGTCCCCATATGATGTCACTGGTGATAAACATCTCTCTCTCTCTCTCTCTCTCTCTGTCTCTCTGTCTCTCTGTGCCTCTGTGCCTCTCTCTCTCTATGTCCCTGTCTTTCTCTCTCTCTCTGTGCCTCTGTGTCCCTCTTTCACTCTCTGCTGTGCCTCTGTGGCCCCCTCTCCCTCTTTACCTCTCTCTGTCCCTATCTCTCTCTCTGTGTGTGCCTCACCTCTATCTCTCTCTCTCTCTTTCTCTCCCTCTATCTATGCCTGTCTCTCGCTCCCAACATTTGTATTTGACCAAGCATTATCCCACTCGAAGATGGCACACTAACCATGAAGCAATACTTCAGCAAATTATTACCCAGATTAACTGCTATTGATCGTAGCTGCTCCTAAGGACTCTCCAAACAAAGCCTGGGTATGAAGAAACTGATAACACAATGACAATCGATATCAAACTCGCGAAATGACAAAAACATAATTTCGACGTTGATTCATGTAATCCTCCCAACAGCTACAGGCAAACACCTTCCATCATGATACACATACGCAGGGCAAAGCGATTCATCTCACAAGCCCAGAACGAGTTTAATTGTATTAATTTTAATCGCAACCGGCTAATAATTGTAAGCATTTGTCAAACTCAGCAAAGTGTTTAGCCTTTTTTTATTAACAATTTAGAGCTCATAAAGCCGACAAAGTAGGGATTTATTTTTTAGATGATTGAGGCGTCAGATACTTCTTACAGATAACCCCTGGCCTCAAGAATTCGTACTTTAGCATTCAGGTAGAGTATCCCCGAGAGCTGATATAGCAAAACACGAGTGAAGACCGTGAGAGTGAAGCGAGCGATTCTGTCTATTCAGCGCATAACCAACTCGTCCTGAAACAAACAGAGCTTGCAGGCGGATTTACCTATGTGTACAATAAATAAGGCTAGCTGAGTGATTAACGACGGAACAATGTATCTAAACTATAGAACGACATATAAATATTCTCAGACTATAAGCAGTTCACATACAGCGTATTAGCCACTGTAGCAAATCAATCACATTGCCTAAAGTTTACGAGAATTCTGTAGATAATTTGGGTGCCTCTACTTAGGTAGGGTATGTTACGATTTGGTTGGTTGGGTTGTTGTTTATACCGGTTTACCGGTATTAACCGGTTCAGACATGAAAACGATACGTATTGCGATACGCTGATAGAAAACCGGTATTTTGACTTATATTCGGAAAACTTCGTAACACTCGGAAACCTTGATGATTGTGGCAATTGTGGTAATGGTGGTGGGAATGATCGTGGTGAAAATTACATTTAAATATTATCTATATTCTTATTTTGTCATGATTAAAAGTTTTTATTAAAGCTTAATGAAGCATAGTGATTTTGTTGTGTTTTTTGCTTTATAAATAAAGCGTTAACTTGATCATTAGTAGTTTATTGTTAAAAAAAAACCTTCTTGCAATATATTGCAATACATATCGCAATATAAGCTTTCGCATCGCAATATATCGCAATATGAAAATTCTCTGCAATACCCACCCATATTGTTTTACGCCGCACTCAGCAATATTCCAGCTATATGGCGGCGTTCTGTAAATAATCGAGTCTGGACCAGACAAACCAGTGATCAACAGCATGAACATCGATCTACGTACCTGGAATACGATGACATGTGTCAACCAGGTCAGCAAGCCTGACCACCCAATCCCCTTGGTCGCCTCTTACGACAAGCATGGGTTACTGAAGATTAATCCTAACCCGGATCTACACGGGTCGGTATGTTATGAGAACCGAATTAAAATAACAGAGTGTAACAGATATAGTAATTATTTCATGGAGTATTTTGGGGAATATTTATTCGGAGATGAATATTTGGATTATATCGCCATATACTTAACAGACATAAAATAATAAACCCAGACATGGCAGAGTCGATTTTGATAACATACATGTATACATTTCCCTTAAACACACAAGCACGTGTGCATCAGCGCCACCGCCGCCACCACCACGTACGACCACTACCACCCTCTCACTACCCTACCTCTTGAAACTAGAAGGAGTATCGCTTAGGGTGAATCATGTTTAGAGAGCATTCTTACATTGACTACTCTTACTAATTTAAGTAACAAATATGACATTTCCAGAACCTTGAAATAGTATTGATGCACGAGAGCATACTTTACACTTGACTTTTTAAACACACTACATCCTTCTACCTCACTTAACGTCGGAAAAACGACCCTGACGTACTGGTTACAGTAATCTTTCTGACACAGACCAGATAGTATAAGTTTGTTTTAACATGTTTAATATTTACATTGGCCACAAACGTCAAACTATCCGCAGTGTGATTACAAGCTGTAGACAAGGTAATGGAAGAGAACAAACACACTCCATGTTTATTTTCTGTGTAAAGTATAACGTTTTAACAGACAATGTTTGGTTTTCCTGTAATACATGCGGTAAGAAAAAAATCACTGTAGTACAAACATGGTGTGATGAACCAGTTTGTGTGAACCAGATTGAAAAACCCGTTTTCAACTAAAGGGAGGTAACTGTTGAAAGTGGATACAAATACATTTATAAGCCAGAGTGAGATATTTCAGGATCGAAGTGAGCAATGATTACTTGTGTTTTCGAAAATATTTTCATAAATGAGATTTTGATATATATTTTGATTTTTTATTAATTATAATTTACAAAGTAAAAACAAATGTAATCTGTTAATACAACATAGAATAGAACAAAACAGTTCTTGAACTGCATATATATGACGACGTATATGCATGGAAGTACGGTGTCCATATTCATGCCATTCTAAGACTCCTGATATAAAGGATGATTATGCATTGTACATTACCTAAGTTTAACCTGTTACACATTTGTAATTTTCCCTTTTGTTCCCCTGCCGTTATAACTTAGCGAACAATGACGGTGATAAATCAACGTTGCGACCATATGTATGGAAGAGTTGTCTCCCTTCGTTATTAACTTTTACATTTTGATCACTATTTTCGTTAGGATAAATCAAGTCCTTTTGCATATGATCTACATAAAACTCCACAAACCGATTTCTTACAAACCGATTTGAGGTGAATTCAACCGATTTAGCACTTTAATACTTATGCCCCTATCTCCATCTTTACCGACATGGTGAAGATGTTCCATTCTACATTCGTTTTGTTGACTGTTGATTTCAGTTGACTGAGGAAAAGTGTGTCAGCTTCAAAGCTGTCAGCATTGAAGCTTAACTTCAAACAGATCTAAATTATATGTAATGCTCTCGTCGTAACCTATCAACCCAACCCCACTACTGTCAGGTCCATGGTAGCGGGTTGCGTGATAAAGGCGTATTGGTCTTCAGCAACCCATGCTTGTCGTAAGAGGCAAATACCGGGGTCGGGTTCAATCACTTGATTGACACATGTCATCGTATCCGAACTTCGAAGATCGCTGCTCTTGATGTCCCGTGCGGAGTCGATTATTCGAGGACCGTTGACATACAAGAAGGATATTGCTGAGTGCGCTGTTAAAACCAAAGATAGCATAATCAAACATACAACTAAAATAGATTAAGCAAAAACGTATAAAAAACACGCCACCAAAAAAATCCCACGTAGAGACTTATAAACAAAAGTACACATACATTTTAGGAATATGTAATCCAAGCTTGATCGTATAAAACGTGCATCTACTTAACAGACATCGCTAAACTCGTATAAAACATATAAAACTACATCGTGAAAGGAGGTAAAACTTATAATTTTTATTTCTTGTTATTTCATTTTCTGTTACAATTTGTAATGAATTAATTAAAAATATCAGTGAACTTGGTACTAGAAAGCGGTTTGTATTGCAACTTTCTAATTTTCTGTATCATTTTCTTTATGAATTTACGGACAGTTTCGATCGGCTTCTTTTAGAAAACGAATCTACATTCCAGTTGTCCATGAAGACGGTATATATCACATGCATACTTTGACAAATCTGTGATTAAGTATATTTTCTGAAATTGAAACACGTTCCTTTTATCGTAATTAAATTATCACAATAATTAAATCACAATACCAGCTTCTAAATGCCAATTAAAGAATAAATAATTACTCAGTAAAGGTAAATACAGTGAGCGATGTACATGTATATGCGTGTGATATACACGCCTATATATTTTGGTTATTCATTGTGTCTTTATAGGCAGAATAATTTATCAATTGCATCTGTTAATGTTGAAATGGTATTTGTATCGAAAACGTAGATCTGGGTATGAATTAAGAGAGTTTGAAATACCTGTGTAACTATTTAGTGTCTTTAGTATAATATAGCATATTTCATCGTTATTGAAGAAGTAAAACCTTTAGTACACGCATGTATTTATATGTGATACAACTTTTAAATGTCTGTCAAAGACGTGATAATATTGCTTGTTCCTAATCCGTAAAAGAAAAAGTCCCAATAATCATATTAACCAAGGGCACTTAACTCCGTAGCAACAATTTTGTTTCAAAATGGCGTCTAATGTTGAATATTACGAAAAACAGAAAGAATTTCAAGATAAAATAAATAAGAGGTACACATTTCTTTATGAACTTTTCAGATTAAGAGTATTGACATATTCTGATCGTTATGCAAACATAATATAGCGTCGACATTCTTTAATGCATCTGGTGGGGAGTCGACAAGACCAGCGACATGCAGGTGCTTGCAAGTCCACGATCTGCCGACATTCGAATTGGGATGTCAAGGCAATAGATATCAGGATGTTTTCAGATCGGTTAATATTCAAGACCATTGTCACGCAAAATATCCTTAAGAAAAGTCCCAGATTTTGGTATAGAAGAATAAAAAATAGCAAATGAACGTTTTCTCAGCTCTGAACCCATGGGCATTTGTCTTCAGCGAATTCCTTGAGATGGGGAAATTGTTCTATACGACTTCCCGTCGATCAACTTGACAGCTTCAGTTTATAGGTTTATCGCATGTCCAAAATGATTATTTTGTCCTGAGTTTATCAGCCCTCAAAAAGTATTGGTGGACATTTGTGTCCCATGCAACACTTGCTTCAACATATTCAGTCAACATGCATGAAATGATAGATAGTAGATTATATCAGAGACCATATAATATATGGTCTCTGATTATATTGGTTGTTTTGTTTTTTCTGTAAGTGGTTGATTTTATGCATGTAACTGTGTGCCTTTCTGAGGGCACCATTAAGCAACAACAACCACATCTAAATAGATAATGACAGAAACATGATAGTCAACACAAAAGGTTCAACTGCAACAGCTCCTGCTGTACATGGCCCCTTGTGTTAACAGATTCCTAGCTGAATATTCTTAACTTCCATTTTCATTGCAGTGAGCAAGAGAGGCTTAGATTGGGCCAACAGTTGAAAGCATATTTTCAGTCAGACCAGAGATTGTGAGTACTGGCATGTATTAATATCTATAGCATAAGGATCATGACTTCAAGTTTCAGAATTTATTGGGTACCATGATATAGCTGGAATATTAATGAGCAAAGCAGCAATAAATGTATAAAAAGTAACAATGCTGCTGTCTTGAGGTTCTTTTGGTTCTACACATACTGACAATCGAACGCATATCTCAAAGAAAATGAGGTCAGCTTATGCCAGTAGTCATATCATGGTTGTGTTTCGATAGAGGCAAACTGAAGGCTGTACGTCTACATAACTATTGGAAGAAGATCTGTGAGGATGAACGTCGGAGCAAGCAGAGGAATGAACAGATCCGCCGAGAGTTTGAGAGGATTGATACACACATGGCCTCCCTTGGCTCCCGAACAGAGAAACTCAGAATATTAAAGGTTTGCTATTTTTTCAAGTCATATAGTGAATTCAGAAGGAATTGATAGCAATTATACATACTTCTGTAGGTTCAAATTTTGATTAAACCATTTTCATGTTATTGAACTTTACAATGTTTATCCATTTGTTTGATTTCTTGTTCTTCTTCTACCAGCCTTGTCTCTCTACCATTGTCTATGTGGGGGTTATTTAATATTTAATACTAAGAAATCAAAAGGGTAAAATATAAAATAATCTCCAATTCAGATTGAAGTATTGTTTACTACATCATTATTGTGAGATTCTGTGTTTCATTGACAGAAAGAATATGAGGAGTACATAGAGAGGACCTACCCCCAGTGGAGGGAGCTATGTCAGACCAAGATGGCTGGGTCTCAGGTACCAAGACAGAGAGCAGCTCTTGTGTGGTTGATTATTTTAGAAGAAAATATAACATCTGGTCTATTCTTTAGATATTCTTAACCATGTTAACTGTAGACCCCAAAATAAAGTGAAGAAATGCTATTATGTATGCCATTATCATGACTGGGTAGGCAATGTAACCAACTTAACAAATGTTTGGAGCTTATAACTTTTGAGAATGTTGATTATCATATTTTGCATGTTTTGAAACCTACAGTTTTGTTGGTTACATCATTTCAGCATCTGAGATCTAGAATGGAACTGCTACTGAAAATTATTTATGGCCACTGATGTAATTATTGTTTCAAAATAATGCTTGGAAAAGAAGAAAAAGAAACTTTCACAGAGAATTCAAATGGGTGTGTTGAACATAATTGATATTACAGTTAGTTGATTACCTTGATTTTAGACTCAGCATTTACATAAACAAAAGTTGAAAACTCTTGCATGAGCCCATTGGCCTAGTTTTACAAAGTGAAATTAGTGATGAGATGATTGTAACTCCAGTATGTAAACATTGTAGAACAGCATCATGTTTCTCGGTCTATAATTTACAGGTTTTTGTGTGTGTTTTAGCCTGCTGCCACAGATGCGTCTGATGGTCAAGCAGGCAGTCCTCGTGAGGAGACGGACCCAATAGCTGAGAAGGTGAAGCTACAGATGTCACAGATCATCAACAATAAATCCACAACTAAGCCATCCAACAATATCATGAACATTCGAGCCGTGGGAACACCTCAATCCGCTTCTACAAGTGCTGCTCCTGTGACAACCCACCAGACCTATACAGTCTCCCAACAGTCCTACATGGCTTCTGAGCAGCCTCCCCATGCCTCCCAGCAGACATACACAGGGTCACAAGTTGCATCATCAGTCCCTCAGCAGAGCTACCCAGGGACACAGCTTGCATCATTCACCCCCCAGCAGTCCTTACCATCAGCCCAGCCGGGCACAGATTCTCATCACACATATATGAACAGCTCAGCCATCTCAGAAGACACATATCCAGCCTCCAGAAGCTTTTGCTAATTCAAGTCGTGTTGCTGAAACATCTGTTGATCGGGACAGTGATTTGATGGGTAAAGTGCTTCAGTCTGAGACTCCCCGTGATGTTAGTAGGGTGTCCAATACTCTCTCAGACACACCTCGTGACAAGAGTGAAGATGGTGGACCATTGCCTGTACAGAACATTAGTATACAGAGAAAGGTGGCAAGCCCAGCACAGGCAACAGGTAACAAAGGTGATATGGAGATGGGAATTTTTGTTGAAAATAAGAATATTATGGTCCTGATGTTTGTTATTCCAAGCTCATTGAAGTAATTGATCTTTTTTGTAGGCTAAAAGAATTTTATGTTGTGTGTCATTTCTAAATTTTATTCCTTTTCAGTTTCAGCCATGCAGCCTGAAGTTGATGAAGAAGATGTTGACTTTGGCAGTGATGTTGACCTCCCACTGAGTGATGCACAGGGTCACGCTCCTGTACAACAAAGGGAGAGAACTGTGTCAGGTGGAGAAGATTCTGTCTCTGCATCAAAGCCTTTTGCTAGAGGATCCAGTTTTCACTCATCAAAACGATGGAGGTATTTAAGTATTTATGATTATGTCTGTGTTGTTTTGGAATCATGACTGATGTCTATCTGCTGTTTAATGAGTTTGGCTGTAAGTTATTTCATGATTTATATACACATATTGTATAAGTTGCGTGTGTGTATATTCATGATTGGTCTCCACCTGTTGTTTGGCAAGTATGGCTCTGTGTGTGTGTATTCATGATTGATCTCCACCTGCTGTTAGTGAGTATGGCTGTTTGTGTGTATTCATTATTGAACTCTCTCTGATGTTTAGCCAGCATGACTGTGAATGTACTTATTCTTGCTCTCTACCTGTTGTTAGCACGTATGGATGTGAATGTGGTTATGCTTTTTCCCTACCTGTTGTTAGTGAATTCTATCCATTGTAATGTGAGTACATGTATAGTGCTTTGTTTGTGTGTATTCATGATTGATCAATTGGTCTCTGTCTGTTCATTGTGAATGGCTCTGTATGTATATCATCATGATTTATGTGTATCTATTTAGCGAGTATGGCTGTGTGAAGCCGGAACTGACACTGGAGGGTTTGCTGTTCCTGCTTAAAGTTGTGCAGGAGGATTTCCCCCAAGCCTTTGCTTTAGATGGCTACTACAGATCCTACAGACCAGACTCATCTGCCAGACTGGAGATCATACAGTGAGTACACCAGCTCTCCTCTCTCCTTGTTCACATAGTACAGGATTGTCAGCTACACTTGATAGTAAAAGTATGCTTAATTACATCTGTGAAAGTTATTAAGGGTATATTGTTCAGAAGATTACTGTCACACTTGCACAATGATACTGCAATATCAGTCTGCGATTTAAGCCTGCTTCTAATCAAATTCTGTTCTGCCTACTTGTAGCTTCAGCTAATAGCATTCCATCAGTCTAAGTAAACTTAGGCTCAGTATTATTCATTACACTGCTTATACTGAGTCTTATACTTTCATTTGTTGAGAGATCAGTGACTGTGGGGAATTTTGTAAGTCCCACCGAACCCTAAATAGTAGCCGTTGTCAGATTGGTTAAATCCGTTCGGCCGTCTCGCATTTGATTGGACAGTCATAGGTCGCTCAAAGGTTAGCTGACGTGACCTTCTCAGACTCAGTATAGCAGTGCAATGAATAATACTGGGCCTAAGTTTACTTAGACTGAGCATTCCATATGATAACACGAAAATCTGATGAAAATGATGTAGAGTCATGTTGAAGACTGCTGCAGTAGTATCACAATAGTCATGATACTGTTTTTAGATATGGCAAACTATTGTTAAATGGGGTCACTATTAATATGATGCAGTCGTCTTTGTTCTAAAATATTGTGTTTACAAGAGATTCTGAAACCTCCTTAATGTTGTGTTTATGATTCAGAAAAGCCAACAGCAAGAGTGACCTGGAGACGTTTGACCTGAACCAAGTGAGCATGCTGGTGTTGGAGCAGATGATTCTGGTGGTGATGAGTCTGAAGGATGGCTACTTGTTGTCTGACAGTCTACTGGACCAGGCCGAGAACACCGCTCTCACACAGCATGCCATCAAGTTAGTACTAGTTCTATTTAGAGTGAGTGAGTGAGTTTAGTTTTATGACGCACTCAGCAGTATTCCAGCTATTTACGTGGCGGTCTGTAAATAATTGAGTTTGGACCAGACAATATAGTGATCAACAGGGTGAGCATCCATCTACACAATTGGGATATGATAACATTTGTCAACCAAGTCAGGGAGTCTGACCACCCGATCCTGTTAGTCGCCTCATATGACAAGCATGGGTTACTGAAGATCAGTTCTAACCTGGATCTTCACGGGTTGTTCTATTTAAACACACAACTTGTTACTGATCCTGTTACAGTCCTCAATGCTATGTATGTATTGTAAAAGATTCTAAATATGGTGATTAGGTTCATAGAATGCCCGCGGAATATGAGTAATACCTGGATGGCAACTGGATGAATGGTACCTCTGTCACCATGGTGACGATCGGGCAAAGTCTATGGCAGTGTCATAATACTCGCAATACCTTTAAACACCATTCACTTGCTCTCTGTACAGTTTTAATGTATGGGCAAATTATCTCAAGAGGTCTTGTCAGTCTATTTAGTTATTAAGTTGCCTTTGTACCCATTATAGGCAGCAGTTGTCTCCTGATGGGCAGACATTGTGGAACGGCTTGTTCAACCACTTCTCCCTGCTGCTGCAGTACAAGGTGATGGAGCCCAAGGAAATAGCCGCCATTTTTGTGCCCTGCATAGTAGAGGATGGATCACTCAAACAGAAAAAAGTGAGTGGCCTGTTGTACAAGATCGCCATTGATATATTGATATAATATATATAGTCCCTCATATTCACAAGCTATTTGTCACTTGGTCAAATCTCTGTTGCCCTTTGGTGGCAAATTGAATGCAAAATGATCTGTACTGAAATTGCATTCTGGGCACACTTTTCTAAAGATCAGATGTGAAGCATCATCATCACTACTACTGTTCAGTTAAGCGTGGGATTAATTTTGCTTTTAGCGCATAAAAGACAATAATCATATCAAATATTCATGTTGTCATGGCAAATACTTGGTAGGGACAAATTGCAATTTATAAACAACAAACACTACTTTATGATTTCTGTGTTTAATTATCATCAGTACTATAGTATACACTCTTTGCGTTCTGGCATATGGGACACTATGTCATGTTGACAAAGTATAATCACCTCTCTGTGATTGTTTTAGTAACACAATTCAATTGTCACTAGCTTTGATCATTGCATGTCTATCTGTTGTGATACCATCACTCAGGTGTTGCCTGGTAGCGCTAACAGTTTTTGTGAACTTTCCACGGAAATTGCACCCTTGAAAATATATACGATTACAGTATTTCATCTTTTGTCCTTGTTGCCTGGTCACAGCATATAGGTATTAGCTTCATCTGTGACAATGAAGTACAGCGTATAGGTATTAGATAGTGGGGCCACTTGGGTTCTGTTGCACAAAGCTATCTTAGCACTAAGGTGATTGTAACTCCCATACTTTAACATAGGCTTACAATAGTGGTAGTGCTAAGATTGATTTGTGCAACAGGGCTCTGGTCCACAGAATACAGTGTTATCAAATCAGTATGACCAAATGTTGGCTGGCAGAGCTGAATGGTAATGGATGAATATGTGTCTTCCACAGGCATACCAGTTGGTTACACGTCTACTGACAGTAATGAGTGGGGATGAGACTGATGATGCTTCTTCCCTGGCCTCCCCAGTGCGTCAACCCCCTCCACCGCACACACCCAAGGCTGAAGTCAACAGTGGCACATATGATGGAAAAGGTGAGTCACTTACTTAGTTAATGAGGGTTGTAGAGTCAGTCAGGGGGAGGATGGCTTTATGGTGCAGTTATCTGTGTTACTATGTTTACTGTGATTTCTTGTTTCAGGTAGACCTCGTGAGCTGGGCACAAACTTCAGTTCTGACTGTCTATTCATTATCGTTTCTATATGTAGTGGAGAAATCATGAGGATCTGTTGAATCTGGATAAAATCTGTATGAACCCTGGACGTGTTATGTGTAGTGTAGTCCACCCATTGTCACATAATGCTTTGTGATCCCCCGCCGCACGTTTAGCCCAAAAGCGGGGGATATAGTATTAAGCTCCGTCTGTCCGTCTGTAAGTACCGAACGTTTGTGTACATTAGGACATCACTTAAATCCCAGAGTAGACCACAAACACTTGGGAAATCTTTGTGTATTTGGTATCTTCCTTCTTTCAGTTTCCTTGACCTTCATTCTAAAGGTCACAAGGATTTAACATTTTACCTGCATGTTAATATATATATCTCACTTGGGAAATCTTTGTGTATTGGTATCTTCCTTCTTTCAGTTTCCTTTGACCTTCATTTCAAGGTCACAAGGGGATTTAACATTTTACCTGCATGTTAATATATATCTCAAGATCCGTTCACTGGATTTTCTTCATATTTGAAACCAAGCTTTATCTAGAGAAGGCGCGGGGCCCAGTCAAGTTTGGTGACCTTCACATAATTGTCAAGGTCACAGAGACACTTTGAAGATTGCAGCATATTAACCTACATGTTATGCTTGTCAGCGAGATACCTCAAGAACTATTCCCTGGAGTTTCTTCATATTTCACACCAAGCTTCATCTAGGGAAGGCCCAGGGCCCAGTGAATTTTTGTGACTTTCACATAATATTCAGGGTCACGATGACACTTTGAAGATTTCAGCATGTTAACCTGAATTGTCAGCAAGATATTTCAAGAACGGTTCACTGGATTTTCTTCATAGACTTTCAAGACTTCGCTTGAATGTTTTTCAATAAGCAATTTCTTTAGTACTATTTTTGCATAATTTCATACACTATGGCATTCATGTCAAGGTCAAAGTCAGTCTTGAAAATATGTGTGTGTTTGAATACCTAAAGAGCAAGATATCAAGAGAGGTTGACTGGTTATGTTTTTGTTGACATTTAACTTAAACTTTCATTACTTTATAAGTTTGATTTGATAATTTGCAGCGGGGGATTATGTCACCTTAGTGACAATGCTTGTTATTAATATGTATTGTCTGTGTACATTAGGACATCACGAAACCCAGAGTAGACACAAACACTTGTGAAATCTTTGTGTATTGGTATCTTCCTTCTTTCAGTTCCACCATTGAAGTTTGGCAGCCTGCTGGAAAAACCTCTCACCGATGATGAGTCAACCAGCTTTTTCAGTAGTGCTCCCAGGGATAAAATGCCACTAAACGGTAACTATGGAAGATTCCTTTGACAGATAACCACTGAAGTGTACTGGACATGTTGGAGAAAATATCAGATATAGAAAAACCCAATGCGGAGTCCCGTTTAGAATTGTTCCCCAGCAACCTGTGCTTGTCTTAATGGATAGACTTGTCCTAATGGGTTCAGGCCCAGTGACTTGGACAGTAGTGTATCATAGTAACCTGATGATGTGTGACATTGCTCATAATATCAATCATTGGCTTAGTCTGTGACATTAGCTGCTAGTCAGAAGTCTGAGTCTAGTAAGATTTTGTTGGTCTAGGAGACACAGAAATGTTAGCCAATACAACTCCAACATTTGACTGAAACTGATGTCAAGAACTAAGTTTAGGATAGTATCATTAAAATCTTTTGATGCTGATTGTCTGGTTGGATTGTTGGGTTCAGGCTGGCTTATTTACAGGCTGCAGTCATTCTAGAATAATTGCTGAGTGTATTGTTAGGATTTTGCATTAAACAGCAAACAAACAAAATGAGCATGTCCTCCTACTCAATGTGTGTGCATCTTTGAGCTGCTGATGGTTCATGTTGCTCTTCCAGAAACTGATGCCTACAAGAACATGCTGAGTGGAACAATGAACAGCCAGCCCAGCACACACATAGAGGAGGAAGAGGATACTGATGATGATGTTGAGAAACAGTTTGCCTCGGTGTTGTCTCCTCGTACCCCAGCAAGCAACAGGTACGAGGAGGATGGGGGAATAAAGAGGGGCAGAATAGTAGGGTGAAGGAGAGAGGGAAAGAGGGGGGGGGGAGAATGAGAGGAAGAGATTAGAGATTATGAAGAGGAGGCAGAGATGGGAGATTTGGAGTGTGAAGCAGAGAGGGAGGGGTTGAGGTGAGAGTGTACTACATGGTTGTCCATTGATGATGATTTTGATTAACACTATGCTTCTGTTTCCATGCTTTTGTTCCCCTGCACTTTAGATGGCAGAAGGTAGGAGGAGGAGGTTTGGTGATGATGATGGGAGGCATTGAGCCATGGCACTTGTGCTCACTGTTTCAAACAGTGTAATAAATGTCTGTTTCCTCATACTTGACTCGAGTTACATTGAAATTTGAGAGTAATTTGAAGAATGTCTTGCTTTGATTAACCAGGCAGATTTTGATACCATTGCAGATACTTGATGTTTCCAATAGTTCATCTGAAATCAACACCAATACACTTATGATACATTGTTGAGTTAGAAATTACACTTGTTTTGGTCTGTCTGAATTATCTACAGCTTGGTTTAACTCAGGTTAGTGTTTATTAATGTTGTTATAAAGTGAGTAGTGAAAGAAGTAGTATTTAGATCTCTTTTGTGGAAAACAGAAAATGTCTCATGAATGTACTGTAATGTGAGCTAATACTACAACTTGCTGTGCAGAGTTTATTCCCTTAATCATGCCAGGATCTGCTGATATTTTCCCCTGTATTTTGGACAGCAGAATACCTGTGGTTGTCAATTTGCATCCCTGCATCACTATGGGCTTCCACCCACATAAGCTGACAAGCTGTAATATATTTCCTCTAATGAGTGTTCTTTGAACAGATCACTTTCCAAATGGGAAATGACAGAAGCCTGGTGGTTAATAAAGACTTGGTGCTAATATTTCAACTATGGTGTTGCTACAGTTTCTAATCTCTTGACATACAAAAGAATGTAAAAGTTTGTGATACAGAATATCATTCAACATATTCAGGATAGAGAGTGAATAGACACATATTGAAATTGCAGCAAAAACACTTAGTACTGAGTGGTAACCAAAGAACATATATCATATGTGAAAAGAATCAAATATACACAGTGTTTTTAGATTGTTTTGTCCTTTGGTTTGCAAAAGTTGCCTACTTGAGCATGTATTAGAAGAAATATGACTTATACAAGTTGTTAGTCACTGATTCTTCTGTCTATGAATATGTCATGTTTAATTTTTTTAAACTTATCCTATCTCCGACTTGCACCTCTCTCTTGCTTCGACTTTTAGTGGAACGACTGTAAACTTTTTCCATAGGCCTCCTTGTCCATTCGCCTGTGCACTCCATGCTGCTCTCCTTAATTAGCTTCCTAGTTCCTAATAAAGCTTGCAGCATGCTCTACTAATTGCCCACGTGACTACCTTGAATGATCATTCTCTTTCTTGTCGCACGACTGTGTGGACGTGCTGTATATTAGGGACATTATTTCACCCTAACATCATGGGGAAAACTGATAATCAGTCAAGGAAAAGGAAAGTTTGTGCTCAATGCAAGACGAAATTATTCGTCCCTCGACCCTCACTCGTCTTGCAGTGACTGTATTGGACAATGTAACTGGAATAAACGATGTGGCAAGTGTAATTCACTAGAAGATGAGGGATTTTAAGGCCTACCTTCGTGTTTGCACCCAGAGAATCGCTGATAGGGACAGGAAATCAACAGAATCTGATCCCACTCCCGCCAAGTGTATCAAGTTACAGCGACAGAAAATCGTACCTTCACGCAAGAGAGCGACGCCTGTGGTTCAAGAGGATTCTATGGACGCTTCATCAGATCTGAGGATGTTCGGCACCTATTATGTAAGCATCAATCACCTTCTTCCATAGCGCCAGATCACACGCAGCGGGTGGTTGTGATCGATAATTCTTCGTTGCCTGTCCCATCTACACTATCAGGGGACCTTAGATCGACACTATCATCATCCAGATCATCGGTACATATCCCTCTACTGTCTCAGTTTGTTTGGAGCCTGGCCAACCTGCGTTCAACCAGCCAACTGTCTCCCCACAGTTCATTGAACTGGACTGAGCTGTCTACAACAGTGTCTCCAGGGGATGTTCATCATGAATCAACACTTCAGGTTTAGGTCACCTAATCGCCGATCAGAGCGCCACATCATTCTAGATCACCACAACGATCTAGATCACCTTCACGATCCAGATCACAATCACAAGCCCAGTCTAGATCACCCGTGCGATCAAGATCACCGGATCGATCCAGATCAGTCACGCGATCCAGAGCACAACACGATCCACATCACCTGATCAATCCAGATCACCTAACCGATCCAGATCACCAACGGGTCCAGATCACAACTTCAATCAGATCACCAGATAGATCCAGATCACCTAGTCGAACCAGATCACCGAACCGATCCAGATCACAACATCGAAGTAGATCATCGGACCGATCCAGATCACCTAATCGATCCAGATCACCGAATGGATCCAGATCACCGAATGGATCCAGATCACAACTTCGAATCAGATCACCGGACCGATCCAGATCACCGAATGGATCCAGATCACAACCTCAAATCAGATCACCGGACCGATCTAGGTACCTAACCGATCCAGATCACAACATCGGAAGTAGATCGCCAGACCGATCCAGATCACCGAACCGATCCAGATCACAACATCAAAGTAGATCACCTAACCGATCATGATCACCAAATCAAGCCAGAATGCAACTGCAAACCAGATCACCTTATAGATCCAGATCACCTTTTAGATCCAGATCACGCATCACAGTTTCCAGTTTGTGCATTGAATTGATCTAGATCACTTTACAAATCCAGATCATCTTACGAAACCCAGGTCACCTATACGATCTAGATCACCTTACAGAGCCATTGACCAATCGGGATCACAGTACAGATCCACATCTCATGGCCGATCCTATTCAGATGGTCGAACCAGAGCTCCAATCAGAACCAGATCACCAACTAGAACTACAGCGACCCAGACTAGTTCTTCATATCATACTGGATCACCTAGCCATACTAGAGAATCCAGATCACCGGCTTACCAACCTACTGCAGTACTTACCCGCGTCGAGAGATCTCGATACAGTTCCTCTGACCGACGTTCGGGTGATAATTGCTCTCGGATACCACTAATAGGCCTACAGTCTCTTATGATGTTCCGTCTACACGCTCTGAGAATCCTTCGACTCACTCTAGGATCATTGCTGAGTCATGGGAACCTGATAACAATCCCACTCCTACAGCGACTCCGGATCTAAATATGATGATCAGGGCCATAACCTCAGCCTGGAACCAAATACAGCCTTCTACTCCAGCCCATCCGGCCGGTAGCTCCTGGCTCTTCATCTGGTCCACCTCCTGAGATTGATCCAGTCCAAATAGCCATGCCTGCATCTCCCGCTCACTCTGAGTTATAAACCCCTGGGAGTAGCTTTGCAGCAGTTGAGACACCTCAGGTACTCCTTTGGATTGTTGAGAAGCTCCAACTTCCCTTGAGTACTTCAGCAGATGACCTGGATCACTCTTATACTCTTAGGAACCGGGATTGGTCTACCATCACCCTACCACCTCGACCTTGTATACTGAAATTATCCAGTACACTAAATGATGGTTTCAAGAGCCTGAAACGAATTAAGGATGGATTCTCTGCTCCCAGATATAATCCTTCTACCTCTCATGTCCAGGGCTCTAACAAAATCTCACGGCTCCAACAGTTGTTCAGTCAACATTTGATGAGGATACTGGAACCCTGTGTGGCCATCGAGCTGCTTAAGCCCTACCTTATTGAGGACCGAGAGTTGGCTCACATGGATTCAGCCATGAGAAAGACGTTGCCATCTATTAGTTGCATGATTGCAGCATTCGACGCTGTTAACACTGCTCTGGAGCATACTTACTCTGATCAAGACGCTTACATCCGAGGATGCATGACTTTAGCTCTGGACCAGTTCCAAATTATCCTGGATCAGTTGTCTAATTTTTCAGGGCTACACTCTTGATGTTAGCCGGCGTGGACCCCTTAACATCTCTTCATGGGAGGAGCGATTTAAAACAGAACTGTTTCACCAGCCTTGGTTTACTGACTCCGTCTTCAATGGTAGCATCCAAGAAGTATCTACTAAAGTTGATAAAGAAACCCACTTTCTCTTTGGAACTGTTAAAGAAACAGAAGTCACAGCTCCAGGACTCATTAAAACAGCGTCAAAACTGCACAGTTCACCCCTACCAACTGGATTTCATGCAATCTTTTCAGGTGGCACATCCACTCAAGGCCGTGGCAGAGGAAACAGATGTGGTGGTATCTCCCGTCAGGATGCTTATCTTCATGTTCCGATACATCCAGAACACCGAAGTACCTTGCTTCGTGTTCAACGGGAATCACTACCAATGGAAAGTCCTACCATTTGAATTTCCACCACCCCATGGCTTTTACCCGAATTACCAAGCCCATAATCGAGCTTCCTCCACTTTCAAGGGATCACCTTCGAAGCTTACATAGACGATTGCATCCAGGCTCAACAGGATCAGATCAGATTATTTCAGCGGGCTCAGCTACAGTTCACCACCATGCTGCTCAGACAGTTAGAGTGGCTGTTGAACATCGCTAAATCGGACCCGACTCAGAAACTTCAATTCATCGGAGAGCTGTTCGACACTCGTCAGGGATGATCTTCGTACCTCACGACAGGTGGATAAAGATTCAACAATGCATTCCTCCAGCACTGTCTCAGGCGAGAACCTTACGACAGTGGCAGGAGCTACTGGGCCTTCTGGACGCGTCAGCTCAAACCTTAACGTACAGAGGTCAGCTACAACCTCGGCTGATTTCTACACCCATACCTTCAGGCCGACAACACCAAGGAACTAATTTGCCTTCCAGAACCGCTTCGTCCAGTCCTTCAATGGTGGCTCGATGAACGGAATGTTTGCGCCGGAGTCTCTATGATGCCCTTTGCACCGACTCATCACCTATTAGGCCGATGCATCCCTCATGGGTTGGGAGCTCACTTCTCGACCACAAAGTGGCCGGGCTGTGGTCATCCATTTAACGGGTACTTCATATAAACGAGCTGGAATTCAAGGCGGTAATTCAAGCCGTCTCACATTGGGCAACAGAGCTTCAATCAACAAGTCTGTTGATCCAATCAGACAATTCAACAGTGGTTTGGAATATAAATCATCTAGGCTCAACAGGCTCGGCGAATCTGCTACAATGGGAGATCGGGTTCTTTGATCTCATCGACTCACTCAACATCGTGAGCCAGAGCCAGACACATTCCCGGGTAAAAATGTGATCGCTGATGCCTTGTCCTGATCCATCCGACCGTCCCCGACAGAGTGGAAGTTACTGCCCCAGATCTTTCAGTCGATGATCTACCCATTATCACGGCCTCAAATAGATCTGTTCGCCACAAGGTTCAACAACCAACTTCCAAAGTTCGTATCACCAATCCCAGACTCCTTGGCGTGGGACCTCGACGCGTTGGCAATATCATGGGAGGGTCTCAATGCCTACGCGTTCCCCCCTCCAGCTCTGCTACCAAAAGTAATACAGAAACTATTGGCCACCAGCAACATACTACTGCTTTTGGTCGCACCCTTCTGGCCAGCGAAGAAGTTGGTTCGGCCAACCTAAGAAGCCTGGCAGAGCCAAACCCAGTACCGCTTCCCAACCGGGACGACCTACTTCTTCACCCTCACTCGGAACTGCGCCACGGGTCACCTCAGACCCTCAATCTACACGTTTGGCGCATCTTCAGAGGTCTCTCATAGCTAAGGGCTACTCTCGCCGAGTAGCCACAGCTATCACTTCAGCGCATCGTACTTCGACCCGTTCCTTGTATGACAACAAGTGGAAGAAGTTTGAAGACTATTGCAAGCTTAGGGGAATTGCATCTCCCACTTCCACCTCGGCTCAGGTCGTTGCTGAGTTTCTCCAGCATCTCCGCACTACTAAGAAACTCAAGGGTACTACGTTAGCTACCTACTTAGCCGCCATTAACTCGGTTTTGGCTACCACCACGGGCACGAAGATTTCCACTGTTCCCGAGTTGCAGAGTCTACTCACGGCTCCTATAGACTTTCCTGGGTCTCCGCTGGGACTTCATTCGCGAAAAACCAACTGCCAGGGCAACCAGACCAGATGTTTACCATTCCCCGTTGTCCACCATTCTTGGGCCTGATGATAATGAAGATTTGACACTCTGCCCTGTTAGGGCTCTACACGTTACCTTGCTGCAGATTGCCCAACAAGCGCGCAGATGAGGGATGGTTCCGCATTCGTTACTACTTCCTTTGTATATACTGAATAAAAGTTGAAATGGATCTCAAAGAACTACTTCACTTGGCCTCCATACCAAGGCATCGGAATACGGCCACCTAGCGTGGCCCTACGGACCTGAGGCACAATCAGTATGACGATGCAGAGGTGTTCGACATTCACTCTTACTGACCTCTACTCCACGGAGCAATTACGTCAGTGAAGTGTGACACTCCCGAATTCCAGTGGATTTCGTTGCATTCTGCCTCCAAAGTTGCCGGGCACATCCTTTGACTAAGCTTAGGCAAAGGAGTGAGGGTCAATTTGATGCTGCCCGGAACTGAACGTTAAACCTTGGAGATGCCGAGTTGTGTTTCTCTTTCACCCGCCTCGGTCGGTGTCTGGGGGGCCTTCTTGAAGCAGGGGCTGGCCCGATTCTAGTCGCAAGACTTTAATTACAGGGGTACCTTGTAAATCGTGGCGAGGCGAGGCTTACTTGCCGAGTTGCGCCCCTTGTCGTGGTAATACAAGGTTGTGGCGAACACCACATAATTTCGGGAGCACCCACTACAAGCATAGGAGTTGCGTGCATGCGTAACAGGCCTCCCTTGTACATCGCTATCTACGGTTGTCATCAGTCCACACAGCTCCAAGACCAGCTGTTCACACTGTCCAGACAGAAGGGTAATCTGCGGCCCGCCGTCCAACCGTGGGATAAGTGCAAGTCGTGAGATAGGATAAGTTTAAAATTTGGAAATTTTAATATAAATTGTATATTTATATACTTATCCTATCTCACGCGATGGATGCCCGCCCGGCCTCCCCACTACTCAGATTACAACGTTGGCTCCAAGATGAGAATGATCATTCAAGGTAGTCACGTGGGCAATTAGTGGAGCATGCTGCAAGCTTTATTAGGAACTAGGAAGCTAATTAAGGAGAGCAGCATGGAGTGCACGGGCGAATGGACAAGGAGGCCTATGGAAAAAAGTTTACAGTCGTTCCACTAAAAGTTGAAGCAAGAGAGAGAGGTGCAAGTCCTGAGATAGGATAAGTATATAAATATACAATTTATATTAAAATTTCCAATTTTCCATGGCAGATGCTAGGTAAATATGAGTCTTTTTTCATCTTATTTCTACTGTCTGAGTAGAGAAGCTAGGCATTCTTTCATCTTTTGTCATACAAACTGTTGACACCAGGTAAGATATGCGATAGCGGTCAGATCGAGTCAAAACATCCTCAACCTTTCAGCATCCCAGAGGCAGTGGCTAACTTTGACACACAAAGTAAGCCACCCCAGATCGAAGATGACGAAGTGTCCGAGATGAGCAGCCCAACAGCGGCAAATAGTCCTGTGTATGTCCCAACAGCAATACAGATGAGGTACCCAACCGCTGTTGTCATGCTGCATGTCTGTACCGGTGTCGCAGAGCTGTTGTCTGTTTTGCTAATACTACCTACAGCTTTGGTCATAGCTGACAGTAATGCTCTGCTGTTGTTGACGATGCTGTTGTTTGTACTGATGAAACAAGTGACGTCAGTGCTGATCTATAGTTGCTGATGCTGTTGCTGTTGTTGTTGTTGACTACTACTATATGCATGCATATCCGACCTAACATGGCAGCATGTTTTATGTTGGCTTACTGCTAATGTTTTGTTGTTGTTGTTGACTACTACTATATGCATGCATATCCGACCTAACATGGCAGCATGTTTTATGTTGGCTTACTGCTAATGTTTTGTTGTTGACGACTACTACTATATGCCTGCATATCCGACCTAACATGGCAGCATGTTTTATGTTGGCTTACTGCTAATGTTTTGTTGTTGTTGTTGACTACTACTATATGCCTGCATATCCGACCTAACATGGCAGCATGTTTTATGTTGGCTTACTGCTAATGTTTTGTTGTTGTTGACTACTACTATATGCCTGCATATCCGACCTGACATGGCAGCATGTTTTATGTTGGCTTACTGCTAATGTTTTGTTGTTGTTGTTGACTACTACTATATGCCTGCATATCCGACCTAACATGGCAGCACATGGCACCTGCTAATGTTTTATGTTGGCTTACTGCTAATGTTTTGTTGGCTTACTGCTAATGTTTTGTTGTTGTTGACTACTACTATATGCCTGCATATCCGACCTAACATGGGCATGTTTTATGTTGGCTTACTGCTAATGTTTTTTGTTGTTGACTACTATACTATATGCCTGCGACTACTACTATATGCCTGCATATCCGACCTAACATGGCAGCATGTTTTATGTTGGCTTACTGCTAATGTTTTGTTGTTGACGACTACTACTATATGCCTGCATATCCGACCTAACATGGCAGCATGTTTTATGTTGGCTTACTGCTAATGTTTTGTTGTTGTTGTTGACTACTACTATATGCCTGCATATCAGACCTAACACCTAACATGGCAGCATGTTTTATGTTGGCTTACTGCTAATGTTTTGTTGTTGTTGACGACTACTACTATATGCCTGCATATCCGACCTAACATGGCAGCATGTTTTATGTTGGCTTACTGCTAATGTTTTGTTGTTGTTGTTGACTACTACTATATGCCTGCATATCCGACCTAACATGGCAGCATGTTTTATGTTGGCTTACTGCTAATGTTTTGTTGTTGTTGTTGACTACTACTATATGCCTGCATATCCGACCTAACATGGCAGCATGTTTTATGTTGGCTTACTGCTAATGTTTTGTTGTTGTTGTTGACTACTACTATATGCCTGCATATCCGACCTAACATGGCAGCATGTTTTATGTTGGCTTACTGCTAATGTTTTGTTTGTATTGTTTGTATTCTTAATCATATCAATCAGAATTTGCTCTATTCAAAGTTTACCTTGCATGTTTGTATGTGACTTAACATTTTACCTTATTGCACAATGTTTTTAAATGAAATAATCACCCAATACTTTCTTGTTCTGTTCATTTCTGTTGGTCATTATGCCAAGAGGTGGGAGGGCTAGCGAAAAAAAATGATTTAAGGATTGTGTTGAGGGTAATTTCCTGAGGAAGAATTTTATGTAATTTCAGCAAATTTCCTATACTATAACTTTTGCAAAATTTAAGTTAGACTCAGCAGTAAATATTGTAAATGAAGAATGAATTGGTCTGGTGATATTTGGAATGTTAAATGTACGCGTTTAAGACATCATAACCTGATATCATATTTATAGAAAACAAAATATATTTCATTATGTTTAATTTCTTATGCATGATACATAATATATTTGCTCTGCATGAAGCTTTGAGATATTTCTCTGCTTGAGTTTGTCAGCATACTAAATTATGTAAATACATCCCATTGTTTATAGAAGTAAAGGATTAAAACCAACTTGGAGAACTTCCCTGAGAACAATAGCCCAGGGAAGAAGGGAAATGGGATGAGTCAGGCCCTTTAAACAAAAGTAAACAAGTCAAGAAAAATATTTATAAACAATATTATGTTTCAGACATACTTTCCATGGACATTAAGAGAAAGATGTAGAAAGCTCTTGTTGTCGTACATGTATTTGATAAAAGAGATTTTTAAAAGTATTTTGGTTCACCTTTGCCCTTGTAGTCTTATGGTTCAGTACCTCCAGTATTTGGCATCATATATATTTGTCCCTTCATTATTGTTCCATCTGTTTCAGGTCAACAATGAACTCGACAGGTTCAAACCAGCCAGTCAAGAGAATAGGTACAGTAGCAAGTTTGGGGCGGACCCCAAGGGGATTCATGGTTAGAATAGAACAATAGCAACTGATGGCAAGTCTGGTGTAGATCCCAAGGGGATTCATGTTAAGATTGAGCTCATTAGCAGTTGATGGCAAGTCTGGGGTGAATCTCAAGGAAGTCTGGGTAGGACTTGGCACAGTAGCAACAGATGGGGAGTCTGGGGTAGATCCCAAGGGGATGCTCGCTTAGAATTGGGCCTCCAATGGATGTTTCAGTTTGTTAATGTATTTGTTTCCAGCCATGAGAAAGTGCTTGTATTTTAAACACTTATTACAAAAGCATGAACGTTTTGTAAATTTCTTTCAGCGGGAATAAAAATCAGCTCTGACCTTGACACAGATTCTGAGCTCGATGTTCTTGCAGCCAGCAAGAGGCGACAGGAATCGGAGGAACAGGAGGATGACTTCGACTTCTATGGCTGATCCTTGTAGATTTGCCAGGTCACCAGTGACCATATATATCAACATATCTCTGATCTAGTCTTCTTGATTAGTTGGTGCATTTAAGTCCATATGTATCCAGTACATTTATAAATATTTACTTCTCATCAACACTTATTGACCATGCTGACCTGAACATTCTGTAAGCACAGGATGCTTGGTGTAGTGGTTGACTCTCAGTCATTTCAGGATCTCCAGGCAGCCATTGAGCTTATTGCTAGTGATTTGTAGTTCCTAAACAATGGGTACATTTTCATGATATATATAGCACCAGTGCAAACAGTTAAAATCTTAACTGTCCAACTCTCTATGTGCTGATTTATAAACATGTTCCCAATGCTTTTCTCACCATCTGGGATTCCAGGTTAGAATAGGTCCCCAGCAACCTGGCTGCTGTCTTGGTGACTCAGTCAATTGTGCGGCATGGTATGCAAACTGTCCGTAGTTTCACACAGTTTCAGTAGTTTGTCTTTCTCGTCTTGATTATTGACAGGCTAGAATATGTATAAGTATGCTGCAGCCATGAGATAGTGGTGAAACATTCAGTCATTAACCACAGGCTACAGGTTGTGATACCTGTGTACTCCATACAGTAGTGGAAGAATACGCTCATGTGGGTGACAGGTGTGTGTCCACGCACCCAGCAGCTAACAGTCAACGCATGCATGAATCCTTTGACAAAACCCAAACTTCTATGCAGTCCTCATTTAGTGACAGTGTAGTGCAACTGATAAGTAACATGGTGGATGACATATATATTTGAAATCAGACCAATCAACTGATAAACTGGGCCTGGGCTATTGTTAAGATATCAAAGACAATTACCAATCCACATACCCTCAAACACAAAATGAACCAGACTTGTACAGTCAATGCAAAGACAAGAGGCAGCTGAACTGACAACTAAGTGCAACTTATACAGAACCGTAACCTAATTCGTGGATAACCTTGATTCGTGGATTGCGGTAATTATCATGCTATCTTGTAAATTAAGTCATGTATGACATCACAAAGCAGTACTTCGTGTACACACAGTGCCACGCCTTGCTGACAAAAATGTTCCGAATCTCTGCATTACATGTAAGTAAAGTAAATCTAATTGTCCAGCACTTTGATAAATGCCACCAATACCAGATTTTATTTTTTTACAAAATGTCAAGTAAAAAAGATACTGTTAGCACCAACCTTCTCACATCTCGTCGTCCTCTTTCCTATGTGTCAATAGTTACTGCAAAGGGCTGTCGTACATTGTGATATTTTGTAACCGACTATGTAATCCACAAAACTAGGTGATGTCATATCTTGTGTGTGCACGAAAGTGTGATGATTGCAAATGACTTCGGTAAACAAACGTTTCATTCACGAGTGGAAAATTAGGCATTTTCAATTTGCTGAATCAGTGAATAAAATAATCAGTGAGTATACAAAATGAAATTGTGTATTTAAAATATGATTGTCGCCGCACTTCCCTTATATCCATGAATCAAGGTTACGCAAGTGTACATAGCATATATATATATATATAAGAAGAAGTTTCTGAAATAATCACACGACACAGATTTATTTCAGTTATTTAAGAAACTTCTTCTTATATATGTACTACTGTACGCTAGGTATTCTCATCACTTTCTTTATATTTATATATGCTGTCATCATCTGCCGAATCACTAAAACCTGAAATAAGATTAAAATGATTAGTTATACATTTATGTACACAATATAAAATCCCTGATTTCATCCCTGTTACAAGTGCAGCTTTAAACAATCAATCAACCTCTTCACAGGCAGTTTTCTGTTTTGATGAGGATTAAAATCTATGACTAGGTGCACAGGATAACTGAGGGATTCTGCAGGGATGTTATTGGCAGAGTCATGCCAGTGATGCATTGTGTATGAGATAAAAATCTATGACTCGACACACAAGATAGGAGAACAGGGATTCTGCAGGGATGTTTTTTTGCCATGGTAGCATAGTCACACTGTGTAAAATTTGACTGGGAATAAAATGGCACAAATCTTTGCAGAAATTGTAACATAACCTGGCTGTTGTCTTCACATTCCAATGTTTACTAGCTTTTTCTGTGATATTCTTGGCACGGGTAGTGCTGGAAATGGCTCTTTTCTAGTAGAATCATGTTTTACATCTCAATGCGGAATTGTTTGAATGTATTTATATTGGTTTCCGTCCACTCCAGCAAGCAAAATGCTGGCACAATTCAATGTTTATCAAATCTGTGATGCATTGACTGTCATTCTGCATACTAAAATGGTTGAATAAAACTCTAAATTGTGTGGTTTTGTTTTTGTAAACTGGGACATTTAAAAGTTTACAAAGGACAGCCTTCTTCAGGAGAGAGAAAACACAGGACAACACAATTAGTGGAAGAAAATGGCAGGAAGACAGGAAATTTGGACATCAGGACACTTGATCAAGAGGCAAGATATAGTTGATAAATTGTCACAAACAGTTCTAACATTCTATCATGTGATATAGGGGTATACTTCGCTATACCTTGTCAACCCTTTTGGCTGCCATTGGTGTTGGGAATTGGTTAAAATGTCATAATTGATGATTGCTTCATTACAACTGATCAATCATCGAAAATAATTGTCATTTATGAAATTTTCCTGGTTATTTTTGTTAATGCACAAAAACATAAAGAAAAAACATGTAGTTCTTTGTTTTTTTGTGTGGCAAATTTCACATCTTAAAAGGATGACTAGTATGTTAGGACCATAAATTTCTTGGGGGTCTCTAAATTCAATCATCACTTGGAACGAGCTCATGAAATGTAACTGACAAAACCAACCTTGTGAAAAATATTGTTAATGCAAAAAGTGTTCCAGAATTGTTTGTGTTCGATTATGAGAAAACATGATCGATTGCTTTGTCGTTTAGTCACTGCAACCAATCTTCGATTATTTCAATTAATCGGACCACCACTAGCTGCCATTAGGGCATCATTACAAACAATTCAACTGTTATCCAAGTTTTGTGTCTTAATGTTCTTCCAGATTCTCAGAACCTCTCAAAGAATTGACAAGTCATAAAGCTAACTATGTGTTTATTCACATGTCAGCAGAAACAATAAAGCATGCTCTGATGAACAAATACTCTGAAAATATATATCCTTTGTTCACAAGAGTTGTCAACAAGCAATAACACAGGTCTATATATACTGATGCTTCACAATGAGTATTTTATTAATATACTGTGCATAAATGTCTTCACTCCTGGGAATATTTGAGCAATATAGTGATCCTGGCCAAAGGTATTATTCCCTTTGCTTATGGTGCAGAGCTACGAGGCAATACTGAAGCTGGTCTGTTCGCTCATGAACAGTCTCGCAAAAATGTTTCCAAAATGGCCGACTTGGTTTAAGTGGCCTTGTTATTGAAAGCACTGTGGATGAAACAGATTATCCGACAATGAATCATTATCATCTCATAAATACAGATAAAAAGCATGTCCTTTCAATCATTTCTTACATTTGTTGTTTCATCAACACAATGCATTATCACTGGTATGGTTATATAGTGAAGGCTTACCATGAAATGCATGGAGAAGAATGAAATATATGTAGGCTAGACTTTAGTTAGAACAATTACAGAATGTAGATAAACAACTACAGTGGTCTTCAGCAGCCTTCTCAATCTTTTGACGAAGTAGTTCCTTTGAAAGTTTGACAAAAGAAAGATAGGCACAGTCCCAAATGATCTCATTTGGCCTTGCAGTCTCACCTGCAAGGCGGTTCAGAGTATGAGACTGGTGTGTGAAGCCATGGTGTCCACAGATAATGACATAATGTCACAACAAAGCATCTGTTCCGTTGGACACTTTCGAAAGTAAGTAATGCAGGGCAGACGTATGTACAATAGGGGTGATACTGTGCTTTTAAAAAACTATGTATTCCAAAAATGAGTCTTGATGTAACGAAATCAATGGATTCATGGAACAATCTTATCCCTGAAGGTCTCACATGTTATATGAACTTAAGTACAGGAATACAATTTTCAATAATATTATAATACATGGTGGATGTGAATTTACAATGTAATTGATTATGGCATCTACAAAAAATGCATAAACTCCACTCTTTTTCATATCAAATGTTTTCACTATCTATAGTTCCTTGCACACAACTCTCTGGCAGCTGGTTGCACACAGCTCACTGACAGATGGCTGCACACACCAAACTTGCTGACAGCTGGTGGCCCACACTCTCTGGCAGCTGGTTGCACACAGCTCACTGACAGATGGTTGCATACACACAAAAAACTACTTGCTGGCAGAGGGTTGCACACAACTCAGACAGTTATACACAGCTCTGACAGATGGTTACACACAACTCTGACAGACCGTTATACACAGCTCTGACAGATGGTTGCTCACAACACTGGTAGATGATCATAGTCATAGAGTAATACATTATAAATACTGCATGTAGGTATTATAGGTAACATGTTGACATGATAGAATATATTTGTATATGGTGGGTTAGTTAGTTGGCATTAAATACCATTTTGAGTAATATTTCATGTCTAAAAACATCAGGTAAATATGAAGCAAAGTGACACAGGTTCTAGATGTTCACCAAGGAAGCTCACCATTGCTGACAAAGAATGGATTGTAATACTGGAGTGAAATATAGATTAGAACCCTTGAGCAGATACTGATAAACAAAGGGATGCAACTCTGTCCAGTACATTATAGTGCCTTGGGCTGCCTGCATTCTCATTGTAACATTCAAGATATGATTTAATTAAAAGCCAAAATGTATCTGCAAATTATTTAGCTCATTTCTTGAAACCATATCAGCTTTAACAGCCAAAATGGTGACACTAATTTCACACCACACAAAAAAGATCTTCACCATTTGTCCAAATGATCCATTTTTGAACAATAACAAACAAAAATAACAATATAGGTACTGCATCCATGCATTAAAAAAAATATAAACAGAATCATAAATCACACTGCACTTAATCCAAAATGAATAAATTATTAATTTAAAATCATCAACACTGAAACTGAAAGTTCAACAAAATCTCATACATATGAGCACATACAAACTCCCAACACTGATCTGGCCTTTAGAGACTTAGAGCATCACATATATGTATTCATGCATAACTGAATGAATGATAAAAATATATTGCACACTTCCTAAAGTGAAGCCTGAAGTATACATGGGTCCATTAAATACAGTGTCACTATCCCAATGGTGCATCGTGCTTGATTAAGCGATGTATTACATTTCTTCAATGATAAACCCCCTGCACACCACCATAGTTTTATTTTGGCAGTGGCATCAACTTGTTCATCTCCCCAACTTTGGGTTGAATTCAACTCGCTCATATGAGTTATTGGATTTGAAGAATCTTTGTTGCATTGTGTACACAAAATATGCTCAAAGCGAGGCTATTGTAGCAAATAGACCCAGGGTATTTATCATAATATTCTCTTAAAAAACAGTAGGGGAACCTGAACTTTCAATTTGGATAGGAAGTATAAGGGTTAATAAACTTTTCAAAGACAGACATCTCATGAACGCACCACCATTTTCTTTATCACCATCCCTAAACACAACGCATGTAATGCACGTACACAACGCAGTAGCCCCATACACGTGCATGGGGTGTCATTCTTGATTTTGACGGTTTTCAAGAAGGTCGATAAATCACTGAAGACCATTAATTTTAAACAATCATCTTGCACACACAGTTATTAGTGTTTGTTTCTAGCCGGGTTTTTTTTGGTTTGAAAATGAAAATCGTACACATGCAAATTTCACGTCATACACAAATCATCTTTCAATAGTGATTACTGTACAAACAACTATGGTCAAAACATTCATTATTATCAAATCAACATTGATTGACTCAAACATATCTCCAAATTTTTTCAACCGTAAATTATAAATATAGTTCCCCTACTTTTTTTTAAGAGTATAGAATAGACATACAATACCCTTGGTTATCAATGATGAGGCAGCATAATTACTTGAAATTCTGTTGCACACTATCAAGATTATCTTGTAACAATATATAATGTAGATCAATAATCAATTATTTTACTGTATTTTGAAATAGTGCAACAATCTGTACCAGCATGAACAGGTTTGCATCATGTCAACCTACATGACACAAACAACACATCAAAGGACATATTTAAACATCAAAGTACATCAGAGTAAGATGTTCGAAATACACATACAAAAGAAATGCCTTTCGCTAATAAATGGCTGTATCCCCAGACATGTGGACAACAGTGTTTTTGTTGTTGTTTTTATCCAACAGTGTGTGTAGACTAAGATAAGTCTTATACATGAAATATTTGTCAATACTTGGATCTTTATGCCAGACATATTATATTTCATGGCTTACCAAGATTGTTTCAATATAATTCTATAAAACAAAAAGACATCAGAAATATTTGCTATGTGTGCAAGTTTGGTTAGCATTCAACATATTGTAAGCAACACTGATGGAGGAATAATCAATTGGTCTAATGACAAAAAAGATACTTAATATTTGTTCCACTTTTCAAAATATGCCTCTATATTACATATTGGTTTCTCAAAATAACAATGATATGGTTCATCCTATATAACTAACAGAATTCACAGACAAGTGAAGACTGATAATGTAGAAAATTTCATCTCAGTCACAATCAAAACACGGAACTTACGACAGATGATGCCCATGTGTACTAAACATCTTTAAACACAATAAAATCATTCAAAATTATTAGTCTCCAATAATTCAAGACATATTTGACTGCCTAAACTGATAAGGAAGATCCAGATGATTGTAAGAGAGGACCAGGGACCAGTTGCACAAAGTGATCTTAGCGCTAAGACATCTTAGTCTATGTTAGGGTATGGGAATTATGATGATCTTTGTGCTAACAACACTTTGTGCATGTTGGTCCAGGGCTAACTAACCACACCACTACTATCTGATACTGTTTGCTTGTAATAAGTCATTTATTTGGCTAACCAACACTTTTTTCAGCATTTATGTCTATAAAGCAGAAAATAAGATAGACTGTCTACCTGCTTAACTATTTCCTGAATGGTTGACAACAGAGTAAGTGGGGTTTGTGTTGCATTATTGTGCTGAATGATTGAATATGATTAAATGTCAATCATTTCATATTGTGTCTACACTTTCACTGTTTATAATTAAATAAGTAGTATGTTCAGTTACTATTTATAATATATATCACAATGATTTGTTCATATCACAACAAAATACATACTGATGCCATTTCTTAAATAAGTGTTATTATAAGATATATACAATTCAACCCCATTAATCCAGATGGTAAATTGTCAGCTGAAATCATCAGGACTTAAACAAATTCCAAATTAACCAATTATGAATGCATGTATACATTTTGAAAAGTTGTTTCCTAAACTATGGAAAGGGCTGTTGGGTAACCCAGTGGTTAAAGCATTCTCTTGTCACACCGAAGGCCCGGGTTCGATTCCCTACATGGGTACAATGTGTGAAGCCCATTTCTGGTGTTCCCCGTCGTGATATTGCTGGAATATTGCTTAAAGCTGCATAAAACCCAACTCTATCACTCACTAACTTGATCAATGGGGTCTGACATGATCAACTTTATGATCAAAATATGTTAGGTGCCGTTATACATTTTAATAGTATTTAAATTATCAGAGTTTAATGCCACTTTGAATAATAGTTGATGGGCAGACCAATGAGGGTGTGTAGCTGAAGGGACTCAAAAAGCAAGATGTCTGACATGAAGTGACCACATGAAGGTCACTAGTGCATCCTGGGAATGCTGGAGTGTGAGATGGGTAAGGTATATTCGATGCGTGATGTCAGGCCTTTCATGTGATTGATTCTAGAGTTGGTCTGCGTGTAGCGTAGTACTCCTCATTGAGCTCTGGACCCTCGTCATCATCTTCAATCTCTCCTTCGAACATCTGCATCAGCAACACCTCCACCTTCTTGCGACCTGGCAATAACAGATTTGGATTACAAAGAATACCTTAAACAGACCTTCCTCAGTTACTATATCATCATATTCAGTGAAAGAATTACTCTGCTGTGTACAGTTTACTGTAAGATTTTACCTAAAGACATCCTGCTGGAGTGAAAGGAAGAAACCAAATCAGTTGAAGTTAACCCGTTGACTGCCTATCACGAGTATACTCGTAGTATCAGTGTCTGGCCCAATTTGCCACTACGAGTTATCTCGTAGCTATATCAGTGGTATTTTAAAACAAGTTTCACATGTTGGCAAAACAGGCACAAGAAGCAATAGTTTCCTGCCAGTAACAAAGAATGCCAGGAGACGTTTGTTTCTTGTCCCTATTTTGCCAAAATGTGAAACTTGTTTTAATACCACTGATGTAGCTACGAGATAACACGTAATGGCAAATTTGGCCAGACACTGGTACTACGAGTATACTCGTGATAGGCAGTCAACGTGTTAAGCAACGTTGGTCATGGAGAGTCCTCAGATTGGTGACTGCGTATGGCAGCATGACTCCTGAGAGTTTCTAGGACTAAAGTCCTTCTCCACAACAAAGCACACATGTGGTCTCACCCCGGGCAAGTTTGTTCAAACTTGCCTCTCAGTTCACCCAGCAGTGAAAGGGTACCCGATGGGATAAGTCATATGACTGTGTAAAAATGTCTTAGTGCTTTGAGCATGCACAAGTGCATGAATACAGGTGCTTTATAAATGTCCATTATCATTATTATGTTTTACAGATTAAGATGAAAATGCAGAAAAGAAGGTTTTTATTAGTGAGTGAGTGAGTTTAGTTTTACGCCGCACTCAGCAATATTCCAGCTATATGGCGGCGGTCTGTAAATAATCGAGTCTGGACCAGACAATCCAGTGATCAACAGCATGAGCATCGATCTGTGCAATTGGGAGGGTTATTATTACTGGTACTATCTTTTGGAAAGATAGCTTCAGTCAACTTCTCTGTATGCATGATCCCATTGTAATATAATGCATCTAAATAGTTTTGTCATGATTAAAATACAACAATTCCCTCTTGTACTTTTGTACATAATTTGTAACAGGATAATAATGGGCCTGGGTGCCATTGTACACAGCGATCATAGCACTAACATAGACCAGGGTATGAAACTCCCAAAAATTTCAGCCAGACCATAGGGCTGGTTAGATGTAAAACTTACCAGCCCTGACCAGAACTTACCTGCCCGCAAATAATTTAGGTTTGACAAGCCACGTAGTTTATCATCCAATTGGGATTCATCATTTATTTTTACGAGTGAATTAATAATGATTTATTATCCTGAAATAAGATGAATATCATCATATACATGTCTAAATTCTAACCCGACCATTGGGCAAGTGAATTTGAGAATCTGGCTGTCCGTGTTGAAAATAACCTGCCCCGGGCGGTCGTGCAGGCAGGTATTTCGAATGCTGCATAGACTTAAGGTAGTCTCAGTGCTAAGGTTGTTTTGTACAATGGCACCCAGGTATCCATGAATATGGATTATAATCTGGGCCAAGCCTCGGTTTGAATCTGTGAGCATTTCATCATGGAGGCCAAGGCTGCAATTCTGTTTAAACAAAAATTCTTAACAAGAACAAACATGGAAAATATAAAATTTCGTTGTATGTTATTCCCCATTCAATATCAGATGATAAAAAACAAATAAATCATTATCCACTTCCATATCATCATTTATATTATAGAACAAACAAAAGTAAAACAAAATATGGCAATACTAAGCTATTAACAACAAGACAATAGAATGTGCATACTTTTCTTCTTGAGATGAAACTTCAGTCCTATTTCCTGTGAGAGGTCTGGGATGCTGTCCGTGTCAGAGTCGTCTCCCTTGTCATCCTCTCTTCTGTCTGGGGGTACTTCATTATCCACAAGTTCTATGGAATCTGTTGATGACGAAATCTTAGGGTTTGGCTTCTTGCTGGAAAAGCATTTAGAACACATGTTAACACTGAATAAATAGAAATAACAGCAATCATGGCATCAAAGTACAGGAAGTGAGTGAGTGAGTGAGCTTAGTTTTACGCCTCAATCAACAATATTGCAGCTATATGGCGACGGTCTGTAAAAATCAGAAAATCCAGTGATCAACAGCATAAGCATTGATCTACACAATCCGGATACGGATGACATGTGTGAACCAAGTCAGAGAGCTTGACCACCCTATCCCTTTAGTCGCCTCTTACGACAAGCATGGGTTACTGAAGATCAATTCTAACCCCGATCTTCACGGGTAAGGTACAGAAAGCCTGACGAGACTACATCAGTATTGATACTTAGATGAAGCATTAGAAAACATATCAGGTTTTAATGTCTTTTTTATTCTTTATTGCTCACTTGAAATATTAAATAATGTTTACAAATTCAGTTAAATAATGATACTAATGAATGAAAACAAACAAATATCACCATGCAAGATACTGAAAGACAATTGATTGTTGTTCTTTCATACAATAAAGTGAGTGAGTGAGTTTAGTTTTATGCCACTTTTAGCAATATTCCCACAATATCACGGTGGGGGAAATGGGCCTCACACATTGTACCCATGTGGAGAATCGACACCGGGTCTTCAGCGTGATGAGGGAACACTCCAGCCACTAGGCTACCCCACCAGCCCTCTTACAGTAAAGTTTTGTAAACAAATTATTTACCACTTCTTAAGAAAAGCAGTGATAGTGGGTTATGTTTTCGTTTCACCTAACTGTGTAACATTCAGGCAAAGTATTATGGTTCAGGCCATTTAATTTTTTTTTCCTGATTTAATTTTTGTTGTTGGTCAGTCTCAGAAAACAACTAATTTTTTATAAAAACAACTAATTTCTATTTTAAAATCAACATAACAGTTATGGACCATTTCTTCATACAGATCATGATAAATTAATGATTTAATGCCACTGATTAGCAGATTGCAAATACCACAAGCTGCTAGTTATCGTCTCCAGGTAACACCTATACACACACACCTGCCAATGCCGAGGCCCATTTCCTTGATCTTGGCTTCAACTTGCGACTCTAGTTTGGGAACCTTCTGCAGAGAATACTCCAGGATGAACGCTTCTAGGATGAACGCTGTGAAAATACTGCAACACAGAACATGTCACGTGGAAGCTGAGGTTTTTCAACTGTCTACAACCACAACATAAGGCCCTCAAACTGTACAAGGAGCAAAGTTAGAAACTGCAATAAAATATTTTTTCTATATTGACTGGTTAATGGCTGTACTTGCACTGCAAACATTTCACGATAATGTTAGGATACATTCCATTTTCAAACAACAATGGATCTATTTTTAGCCAGTAACCCTGTTGAGAATCCCCTGGTGTACCTGTATTTGTGATATGTTTTCTAATTTTAACAAATGATGCACAAAAGAAATATTTGAATATGGCGACCTCGTACTTATAAAGTTAACTTACTTGAGCACCAGCACAACACATGTGAGATGGAAGAGAAAGAAATATATCCTGGCAGCCTTGTAGGTTACCAACACGAACCCTGAGGTGAGCAGTGAGAAAGAGTTAAGGTCATAAATGCAGGACTTATCCATCACTTTTTCATTACACATTACATTAATGTTTCTCAAAACCTAGGGTGGCGGGTGAAAATACCATACTTGGACCCTTCAGGTAGATTGGTGAATGAGTGAGTGAGAGGATGGGTTTGGTTTGGTTGGTTGGTTGGTTAAAGCCCACACTCAGCAATATTCCAGCTATATGATGGCGGTCTGTAAATCATCAAATCTGGACCAGACAATCCAGTGATCAACAGCATGAGCATCAATGGGGATATGATGATCTGTGTCAACCAAGTCAGCGAAGCCTGACCCCATCCCGTTTCTTGCCTCTGACGACAACTGACTGAGTTTGGTTTTACGCCGCTTTTAGCAATATTCCAGCAACATCACGGCGGGGGACACCAGAAATGGGCTTCACACATTGTACCCATGTGGGGATTCGAACCCGTGTCTTCGGTGTGACGAGCCAACGCTTTAACCACTAGGCTACCCCACCGCCCGCCTCTGACGACAAGCATGGGTTACTGAAGACCAATTCTAACCCAGATCTTCATGGGTTGGGTCAGGTCGGAGTGAGTGAGTGAGTAAATGAGTGAGAGGGTGTAACTTATGTAAATGATACACAATTATTATTGAGATGATGTCTGTTTGTCATTGATTGATCAAAAAGGATATCATGCCATTGATTGACTACTGTCAACTCAAACAGCAACACAATTGACTTGAGCAGATCATTGAAGTTGTTACTGCAGTAATGGGACTTGTAGAATGTGGAGTCCTTTATCGCTGGGTTGCCACAGTATCTCTGAGTTTCCAGTAACGTTGACTCATTGTAGCCGAAGTATTGTATCTTATTGTTGAAGATTTCCATCCCAATAATAGCATAGAAGTAGTAGAATACCTGAAAACAGTCGCCATTCTTGTTTATAAGGAAGTTTCTTCATCAACGACTTTGGAAGAAGTAAATCGACTGCACTCAAATAAACATTCAAACCATGTGCATTTGATTGTAAATTAATGTGATTAGTATGATTAAATCTCTTAACTTGATGTGGAAAACACTGTAATAATGTATATCTATTTATGGATTACTGGTATTAGAGTTCATGTCAGTTCCACCTGTAGCCAAAACCAATTTCACAGTTAGGCAGAGCAAACAGTCAGGTATAAGATTGTCCAGGGCTGTGTTCCTGAATGCGTTTGTAGCGCTAAGGTGATCGTAACTCCCATACTTTAACAAACAACTTATGACTGTTGTAGCGCTACGATCGCTTTGAGGAACAGGACCCAGTTCAGCAAGGGGCACATTAAATAGTCAAACAATAAAAAGACCAGACTAATTTTCAATTCAACATTATGATAACTAAAAAAGATGGCAAGAAATATTGCAATATATTTAAACACTATTATCTCTACCAATACTCAGCAGTTTAACACATTCTTCTTTTCCCAGTACTAACCATTATGACGCCGCCATAAGTCAGAATGGAAGGTCCAATGTTGACGATGGTCATAATGATGATTTTAAATCTGTGAATGAGATGTCAGAATTCCAGTACCATATGATAGAAGATAATACACACAAGAATCTTTATGGAACCGTGATGATATCCAGACAAGGTACATTTTTAACAGATTGAATAAAGCATGGTAGGGACATTATCAAGGAATTATCACCAATATTCCACCTATAACAGCAGCCTGTAGATAACTGGCTCTGGTCAGACAAACCAGTGGTTGATTGCATGAGCACAAATCCAAGCCAATAGGAAACACCAACCATTTCATTCCACACAGTGATCTTGGCACTATGACAATCAAGCAGCTGTGTTAAGGTATGGGAGTGATGATCATCTGAGCAGTGTCTGGATCAGATCACAGACTATAACCTGCCTAATGAGTCACCTCTAGAACAACGATGGGGTGTGTTCCAAGATTCCTATTGTTTGTCCACATATGCTTTGTTTCTCTATGTGGGTTATGGACTCTATAGCTATGCTGTTTGGCATGATAAGACTTGTTGACAAGCACCACCTACCTCTGTATGCTGCCAAACAGTTTGATTAATCAGTGTCATTACACTGGAGCACAGGAGAAGCATAGGCTTTGTTTCTCTATGTGGGTTATGGACTCTATAGCTAGCATGATAAGACTTGTTGGAACTCGTATGCTGATGCTGAAACAAACAAAGTGATAACAGTTTTATGATAAGATGGATAGAGAACCAAGCTCTTTGCCGACTGATTCCCCATAAAAAAACAGAACCAACTTCAAAAGGTTTTCAAGATCAGTACCACTGGGGTACTATACCATGTTACTATAATAATTCCTAAAGGAGGCAGGGTAAGATGGAGAAAATGTTTGTCACAAAAGTGATAATGGATCTAGAGACAAGATGGCTGAAACATCAGCCATCAAAAAAAGGCCAACTATCACATCCAACTCATTCTGTCTGTTGGTGTTCTTCTAACTAGGTGTCATCTGTAGTGAATGCTCTAGAAGGTGTGAAGACATGACAGGTGTCAAAGTTGGTGGCAAAGGCATCAAAGTCACCCTACCCATGAGGTGACATGACACAGATTGTGCCTGGTGAGGCCTATCTGAAGGTGCTTGTTCTGATGGGAACAACCCCAAAATATTGATGTACAAAGGACAGTGCACACAGTGTTTGGGGATTATTTTCGCTAAGTCAACATAAATATTTTGTTTTAAAGAGTGTTTTTATTGTAACTTACAGTCACAAACATTGCGTATCTGTGCCAAAGCACCACAGATAAACATACACTGTCATGTGTAGGATATCATGAAAATCATGATGTTGATGATTCGCACGTGCATGCTATATCAGCGTTTAAAATTCCCCGCCTGCCCGACCGTCCGGAACGGTCTATTTTCATCTTTCAAAATTCAAAAGTAGCCAGTCCGGGGGTCTGGTAGATATTTTACCCCTAACAGTAAATATTTCATAATATCAGACAGGTTCTCTTGTCGTCAGTTTGGGGTGTTTATGGTATTATGCATTCTCTTCCCACAGAGGTTACTTGTCATTTCTTCCTACGAACCTCTGTTCTAATACGGCCTTTTCATGGTGCGAGTGTTCAGGATTCGTGATTGGTTGCAATCAGATTTAGTTGTGCAATCAGCGACGTTTCAAAAGTGATTATTCGCAAGGCCTCGGTTACTTCCGTATGCTTCGGGAAAACTATAACCTCTTTCCCTACACGATGCGCAAACGTTTCTTATAGACAAAACTCAGTCATGTAAATGGCGGATCAATGGCGTCTCCATCGCCCTCGTTGACAACGGACAAGCTAGCCATTAAATCTCTTGTGTGTCACATCAACACACGTTCCTGGCAGAGGAGGGATATTGGTGGCCCAACATTTGCTTGTATTAGTCAAGTTGATGTAACACGTGTTCTGATTGGACAGAAAGAAGGGAGATAATTTGTGTTGCGATTTTATGCCGCTAGGGGATTTTACGAGTACCGGGAAATATGACCGTATTAGAACAGAGTTTCTATATGACAAGTAACCTCTGTGGGAAGAGAATGGGTATTATGATGATTATGTTAAACTACTTACGATTGGACAGTTACGAGAACCAATCACAACACGTGTACTTTCAGTTTACCTAAACTCGGGGCATTGCCTGTTAGTGCTATGTACTGTAGTTCATTGTGATGCCTACAAACAGTAACCTGACTAACCTGATTTTGTTTGATTTTTATTGTTGAAAAGTTACCAGTCTGGCTGTCTAGCTTGGAATTTTGGGAGTTTTAAACACTGGCTATATGCCAACAGTATAAAATACTGTCGTATCAACAGTGCTGGTTTACCATATTGGCAGAAACATCATAAGACCACTGCGTGCTGTGGGCATCTGGGCCTATCGACCATTTCAGGAAATGTATTGAACCCGTCAACATCAACAGAATTGTCTATGTTGGACAAGGAAAGTGAGACGCTGGTAATATTGACATGCAAGTGACACATCAGTTTAGTTACTGAGACAGTAAGGTGGTTACAGCAACATAGCTGTAGAAGGTGGGTGGTTACAGCAACATAGCTGTAGAAGGTGGGTGGTTACAGCAACATAGCTGTAGAAGGTGGGTGGTTACAGCAACATAGCTGTAGAAGGTGGGTGGTTACAGCAACATAGCTGTAGAAGGTGCTAAGGAGTTATAGGCAATGACTGCACTAGACATTCAAAAGGGGCCAAGAGTGTTTGTAGCGTTGACTCAGAGGCTCTAGAAGGGTTTGGACAAGCTGACAAGCTTTTAGGAATTCCATTCCCTATCTTGTCTTCAAGCAAATATCCACCTCATCATTAAAAATTCACATTCCTGATATTGCAGTTGTTGAGAAAAATGTTTTCTCTTATGACTGAGTTGCATGAGGATCTGATTTAGACTTCTTGTGGTGACACACAGTTAATGCAAGATGGCAGACACTACATGGGAAGGTCCTTATCTACTGCAGGTGCTCCAAGAGATGACCAGCTCAAAGATTCAGATGCTGTAGTATGCACACTACATATTCCAACATACAGCTTATACAAAACGCAACAAAATACAAAACAGAGTAAATAAAGTAAACACACAAAGATCTATGACAGAAACAAACCCTCTCTAAATGAATACAAATACATCCCAAGGAATAGAAAAAAAAGTACATAACACCACAAACAAAAACAGACTTTAAGTTCAGAATCACAGAATATAAACCTTTTCACAACTACTTGTGCCACCATAGTGTTGAGAAGGAAAGCACGGGATAAATAAATAAAATAAAATGAGGGATCAAAGGGAGGTAACTTTAATCAGTAGCCTGATGGAGAACATGACCCAGTATTGAGCCTTGGTTGGGATTCTGTCACATGAGGATAAGAACTGCAAAATAAAATGGTATCCAGAGGAGGTTTCTTATATGTTTTCAAAAGCATTCTCAAACATATTTGCATGAGATTAATAAAGAAGAGATAAAAGACTTAAACTTATCTACAATATTTTTAAATTAATTGTAAAAATAAGTACAACATAAAACATGTTCACAACAAAAAACATTACCTACTTTACCCACAAGAACAAATGGGGCCGGCTACACAAACTTCAAATCTGATTATTACACTATCAAATCACAAAGCAGCCGTTTCTTAAATTTAAAAATATATATTTTAAAGCCCACTTACAAGCTCCAATAATAAGCTCCACAGCAGAGGCTACCACGCAGGCAGCTATCACAAAAAAATCAAATCTGAAAAAATATTGAAATCAGTTACTCATTAATTGTATGTTCATACCATCATTACCTAACATTTTATTATATATAATACATTGAATTTGGACATATGTTTTTTGTTATCGTCTAAAAGCCCTTTATTTAATCATGACAAGTTGATACAGTTCTTTTAAAAGTACAAAATGGCATCAAAATGACAAATATTGAATCATTCAATGGACTGTGAAATTGTATTCTTTTCTTACATATTCCAGAATCTCATGAAAAACTCTTTGGCACCATATGTATAGAGTTTCAGAAATATTTCCAACATGAACATGGAGAGGAAGAACCAGTCTGCATCGTCAATATCAAAGGCGATGAAGAAGGCATTGATGAAGATGAGGAAGTCAAAGGAATAACGGAAAAATCTGAAAAGAAAAATAGAAATCAAACACTGACTCAAGAAGTTCTTAGTCTAAATGAATATCAGGTGTTAGCAATATAACATAAACAAATCAAGCCTTCACATCTCCAAGAATATTATCACAGATTGTTTTTTGAAACCTTATAAAAATAAACGATTTAATCAACATTACTAATATGGACAAATAGGTCTTCATTTTAATGGGCACGAACTTTTTATTAATGATTTATGGTTCTTTTCTTGATTAAGTTTTCAGAGGTCAGGTGTTTTTAGTGAGAGAAAAAATACTTTCTCTGTACTGCTCAGTGATAGGAAACAAACAAAATAAATTGATTCTTAAGATGACAATGTGAACATTTTTAAACTTGCTGGATTTTTCTAGGACCCCAGGATTAAGAAACTTTGATCGCTTGCGAAGTGTGTATGTTGAGGTGAAATATGGTAGTATGTAAAATATACATGTTTAACTTTTCAGTACTATTGAAATAGGCATGAAACCTAATGTAACATTAAAATTGTATTCAACAATGGTTTGGGGATAACCAGTTAGACAAAACTGCCATATACTGTACTTGTGTCGGACGACGATCTTCAGCAACACGCTGGCATAGGAGTTATATACTTTAGGGAAATATTTCTCTATCAAAGTCTGTCTATCCTTGACTTCGCTGAGCTCCACCTGAAGGAGATCGGCCAGTCCCATGAATTGCTTCTTACCTGAAAATAGGATGTAGCAATCAAACTAAATTTCAAACATTTTGAATTTCTTTTCTTTCATATATTATTTGGACCTTCATTCATTTTTATTGGTTAATTTGTGTTTCCACATTCAAATTCAAAATATTTGGTGCATTCACAAAATTTTCTTCTTAAACGAGTGCATTTTTATCGTAACACAATCAACAAAGGTGTTTCATTGTGAAATCTTTGTGATATAGAAATTGATCCCTTCCACAAGGTTTTCAGTTGCGTTTGCTTTGCATCACATTTACCCATGAAGATCCGGGTTAGAACAGATCTACAGTAACCCATGCTTGTCGTAAGAGGCGACTAACGGGATCGGGTGGTCAGACTCGCTGACTTGGTTGACACGTCATTGTATCCCAATGTGTAGATTGATGCTCATGCTGTTGATCAATGGATTGTCTGGCCCAGACTCGATTATTTCCATACTGCCGCCATATAGCTGGAATAGTGCTGAGTGCGGCATAAAACAAACTCACTCACTCATTACATCACATTTATGATGTGTCTAAACATACTCTTGTCACGATATCCTGAGATAATATATAGTTTGAGTTGACAAATATATTAGATTTCTCCATTAGATTTAAAAGGTACCTATCTAACTATCTATACAATCCAGAAACCCTGAGGAAGGACTCACGTATACATTCGTTGCCCCCGATATCAAGCACCTTCATCATGACCTCGAGGTGTGCATTGCTCTTGGTGGGAAGCACAATCCCCATCAACTTGATCCAGCTTGACTTGGTAATTGCATACTCTCCGCTCCGACGCACTTTGAGTAGCTCAAATGCTTTGGCTAACCGACGCCGCTTGCCGTACACTGACATGCGGACCTCGTTCTGAAATATGTTTTGTGATCACAGGAAAGAAATGTAATCTAAACTATATGTGTAGCATCTTGTATCTATCATACAATATTTGAAATATCCAAGTATAATTCAAGGGGCCTTGGGGTGTTGGACGGTGCTATTCAGACCTGTACCCAATATATAGAATCTGTGTATACATAATAATAATAATAGTAATTATTGGACACTTATATATCCACGACGCAGGGACATGGTCTCACCGCATATAACATGGCGGACATTATTACCCTGGATAACCCAAGCTGCCTTTGAAGTGCGAGAAGGTTAACAGTCATATAACTTATACCACCGGGTACCCATTTTCTGCCGGGTGAACAGAGGCAATTTTGAACAAACTCATTTGCCTAAGGACAGAAATACTAGAAACTCTCAATAGTCAAACTGCCAAACATGGTCACCCATCCAAGGACTTTCCGCGATCAACGTTGCTTAACTTCACCTGATTTGTGCTCCATGGACAAAACCACACACCACCACTGTGTACCTATCACCACTGTGTGCTACCATCCTTTTGTGTAAAACTCCAAGGCATATAGAATCCCAGTAACTTAAACTAGCATGAAAATGGACTTAGAGAATCAAGAGGCAGAAAGGTTCCCTTGACTTTTGCTTCATTGTTGTTAAAGGCACCTAAAATGGTACTGGATTGTTAAAGCGACCCTTTGCTGATTGCCTATCAATAGATCAAGAAGGCTTACATTAGAACATGAAGGCATACATTAGACCATGATGGCATACAGTAGACCATGATGGCATACATTAGACCATGATGGCTTACATTAGACCATGAAGGCTTACATTAGACCATAATGGCATACATTAGACCATGATGGCATACATTAGACCATGATGGATTATATTAGACCATGGTGGCTTACATTAGACCATGATGGCTTACATTAGACCATGAAGGCTTATATTAGACCATGATGGCATACATTAGACCATGATGGCATACATAGGACCATGATGGATAATATTAGACCATGATGGTTTACATTAGACCATGAAGGCTTACATTAGACCATAATGGCTTACATTAGACCATGATGGCTTACATTAGACCATGATGGATTATATTAGACCATGATGGCTTACATTAGACCATGATGGCTTACATTAGACCATGAAGGCTTATATTAGACCATGATGGATTATATTAGACCATGATGGCATATATAGGACCATAATGGCTTACATTAGATTATAAAGGCTTACATTAGACCATGAAGGCATACATTAGACCATGATGGCATACATAGGACCATAATGGCTTACATTAGACCATAAAGGCATACATTAGACCATGATGGCATACATTAGACCATGAAGGCATACATTAGACCATGAAGGCATACATTAGACCATGATGGCATACAGTAGACCATGATGGCATACAGTAGACCATAAAGGCTTACATTAGACCATGATGGCATACATTAGACCATGATGGCTTACATAGGACCATGATGGCATACATTAGACCATGAAGGCTTACATTAGACCATGATGGCATACATTAGATCATGATGGCATACATAGGACCATGATGGATTATATTAGACCATGGTGGCTTACATTAGACCATGATGGCTTACATTAGACCATGAAGGCTTACATTAGACCATGATGGCATACATTAGACCATGATGGATTATATTAGACCATGATGGCATACATAGGACCATAATGGCTTACATTAGATTATAAAGGCTTACATTAGACCATGAAGGCATACATTAGACCATGATGGCATACATAGGACCATAATGGCTTACATTAGACCATAAAGGCTTACATTAGACCATGATGGCTTACATTAGACCATGAAGGCATACATTAGACCATGAAGGCATACAGTAGACCATGAAGGCTTACATTAGACCATGATGTCATACATTAGATCATGAAGGCTTACATTAGATCATGATGGCATACATTAGACATGTTGCTTGTGCTATCAAAAACTGGTTAATGATTGCAAGACTTGATTATTTAAGGGAGTGAACATAAATGCGTATTTGTTATATTGTCAAATGATGCAACGTTGACTGCTTGGTGACTGAACAGTGCCCACCTTGAGGTTCTTCTTGTAGTTGTTGTAGATGGCGGCCAGGACGATGCTCATGAAGATGTACAGGCAGATGATGAGGTAGATGATGAAGAAGATGGCAAAAAAGTTGTTGAAGTCATAGGCTGGCATCCTGCACATACACAACAGACTAAATTGAGTGGAGTCCTTAAAGGTACAGTTTCACTTAAATTAGAGTAAGTGAAGGTCTTAGGCCATCTGTGGGCCAGCAGATATTCCAGCAACGTTGTACATCACATGTGTGAAATTGAATGCTGTGACAACAGCCCTACTTTAAACTCTAAGTTTGATACCCAGTTCTGCCACAATCTGACAAATCCTTAGTTGAAGGTCATGCTGGTGAACATTCTACTTGGCCAGACAGTTTGTAAATTCTCTAAACTTTACAAATGTAAACTAGCAGTTCTGAATGCTGAAAACTAATGACTGAAAGATATTGTGGATGTTGATTAAGTCTCTGAAATTTGTTTTTGTCCTCCATCGAAAATTAGTAATACTTCATATAAAGATATAAAAAGCTGCCCAAAGATGAAGCTGATTCATTTTAGAAAACGGATTGAGTTGAAACTAATTTATCTGATGTCACCATCTTTGGAAAGATATGGCCCGTCAATTCTGAATGGAGTATAAGATCTTGTTCAAGATCAAAGTTAATAGACTCCTAATTGTGATTAGACAGCAAGTAGAATTTGTCTTTCAGTCATGAAGATGTTGCTGCAGAAAGATAACCATCACTAAGGCTTCATTGTACATTGTTTTTGTAATGAGCTGAATTTACTAGTCTGGCTTTGTGTCTAATTCGTAGCCACATTTCTACCCTACTCAGATACAATATACTAAACTCTGAGCTGACCAATCTTTCTTGTATCTTCTTTCTTTCTAATACCAGGCATTATAACAACAAGAAAACCTCCAAAGGTTGTTTGGTATGACCCCGCATGACATGGTATGACGGGGCTGAACCACAGACCTTCCCCTCTCTGCGCAGGTCCCTGGGTAAGTGATTGAGAGTGCAACTAACAAGTACTCACATGACATCAGGGTTGTTGGCGGTTGTGACAAGCACATACAGATCCCACACACAGTCCAGGTAGTTCTTGAAGTAAGGGTCTCCATTAGGATAAACCAAGTTCTTTCTGAAAGTATTACATGCACGTCGTGTATATGGTGTATCTATATGGTCCAAGACAAGTGCTTCATAAATCCATACAAAGAGAACACTAGCGATGATGATGTACATGATGTCATTGATGACGTCACAGAGACACTGTTACTATATTTTATGTGTGCAGTTCACATTCGTCTTACAAAACCATAGCTCTGTAGTGTGGGGAGGGCATTATCCAGGCTTTAATGGATTTTGATATTTTTTCTGATTACTGTGTGCATGTCACACACGAAAACACCATGTGAACAAATGTATGGCTTTATCATGTAATTACACTGTCTGGTTATAAAAAGTGTTCATTGTATATCTGGACATACATTATATAACCTCTGTTATTTGATTCAAAATGTCATTCAATTTTGACTATTTATTGTTTGAAATTATCAATTTGTGTCAAAATTGCAAAATGTCAAACACATTTCCTTTAAAAGTACTTCAGAAATTCAAACAGCAACCAATTTCTTTATTATAATGATATACACATTAGATATGGAATATGGGGTATAATTTTCTGTTCAAGATTATTGCACTATGATTGCTGCTATGATTACCGCAATTTAACATGGATACCCCAACATACACCAAGTGTTCAGGCACTGAGACGAACAGACAGTATTTTATCCTTTTAATGCTGATCTCCAGACAAGGTAACAAAAAGTGCCATCTTTTATGTTGGCCAGGGATGGAACCACCAGACTTCTGCTCTCTACCCACTAGACTATGGAGCTATAGTCTAATGTCACACCGATGTGATTGGACTCTATTTTTCAGTGTTATTTTACATTTTTCCTTGTACAGACAAGTGAGTTTAGTTTATGCCGATTTTAGCAATATTTCAGCAATATCATGGCAGGGAATACCAGAAACGGCCATCACACATGGTACCCATGTGGGGAATCAAACCAGAGTTTTCGTCATGATGAGCGAACACTTTAACCACTAGGCTACCCTATTGCCCCGTACAAACAAGAGATATATAATTATCATTCACTGGAGAGGAGGAAAACATTAACTGATAAATAGCTTGGGGAGGAAATACAGGTTTTCCAAGCCCAAGTAAGACGATGGTTCTGAAGAATTTCATATGGTGTAATCAGGGTTACGCTGACCTTTACACCATCATGAAAGTGTCATGCTATTTTTGTTGCACTGTATTCTGTACCAGAAATTCAATGGCTATTCTGAATGGTCATTTGAAGAAGCAAAACGTATGCAACTCTTGGTCATGATGTCAAATTACATATAAGAAATTATATATCAACCATAACTAGGTTTAATTTATAGATATCCAACAAATGGCATCTTTACAGGTGTAGAATCAAGAGATTCTCATGACGTCTCTTTCAAAGAATCCATCCTGGTCTTACCTCTTGTAGAACAGCTTGAGAGCCAACAGGGCAAAGAGAAACACACTTAGGATGAACAGGATGAGCACATTGAGGATGTCTGGCACAGTTCGCCGGATGTTGCGAAAAGCTCGACGAATCTGTTGAAATTAGAGTGAGTGAGTTTGGTGCAACATACAACAATGAGTAAGTGAGTACATACACCTGTGAGTTTGGTGTTATGTGAGTGAGTGAATGAGTGAGTGAGTGAGTGAGTGAGTGAGTGAGTGAGTGAGTGAGTGAGTGAGTGAGTGAGTGAGTGAGTGAGTGAGTGAGTGAGTGAGTGAGTGAGTCAGAGTGATTTGGGTTTAATGTCTCTTTGCATATTATTCCAGTCACATCACATCATACCACCTGGAGGTAGGATGTAAGCCTAAAGTGATGTAAGTGTAGGGAATCAAACTCGGGTCTTTGGCACGATGAGCGAACACTTAACCACAGGGATACCCCACCAACCCAACTGAAAAGTGGGATGATAGGGTAACCTTGTGGTTAGAGTATTTGCCTGTCACACCAAAGGCCCTGGTTCGATACCCCACATGGTTACAATGTGTGAAGCCAATTTCTGGTGTCCATTGCTGTGATATTGCTGGAATATTGCTCAAGGTGGCATTAAAACCATACTCACTCACCCACTGAATTGAGAAGTTAATAAGTTTGATTAATATTGATCAGAACATGAATTAAATTATTTTCTTCTTAGCATTTTGCTCACAATAAGGTTCAGGTGCCACAGAACAACATGACGTCATCCATGACCTAATAACATTCCGTCCAAGTAAAGTCATGTCTGTCTCACAGCTGTGCGAGTTCAGACAGGAGACAATTACTGATATTTTTGTCTCTCATAGTGAGTAAGTTTAGTTTTTGCTGCTTTAAGCAATATTCCAGCGAGGGACACCAGAAATGGCTTCACACATTGTACCCATGTGGAGAATCGAACCCGGGTCTTTGGCATTGATGAGCGAACGCTTTAACAACTAATCTATCCCACCGACCCTTTCATAATATCAGTAGCATTATGCTTGTTTTTCATAAAATCAAAACCATTATGTTTGTCTTTAATAACATTAATAACAGTATGTGTCTTCAGATTTCAGGAGGTTATTCAGAATATAGTGATAGAATTCTAGGTACCAAATAATCCGTAAATTACCGAATTATTGCATGTTCTATCATATTATGAATTACATTGGCATCGTTTTAGTCCTGGATATGTGATTAGAAGATTCCATCTTACCTGTTTCCCATCTGAGAAGTTCACAATGAAGAATGGTCTAAGTGACCTTGACCATCGAATGGCACGGGTAGGTGGGGTGACCAGGTTTTGCCACACAATAAAACAGATGATATCTAGCATGGTTAGCTGGAAAAACAAAGAACATGTTCATAAAGTTAATATTTAGAACTTTTGGTTGTGGGTGATGATGATTTTTGTGGAGAAGCATGTATAATGTGAATGACCCCCCTAAAATTTATGTACAAAATAAGCGACCAAGCATAATTTTAAACAAAATTTTATGTACAAAATTGCTGACACCCCCTAGTACGTGTGTACAAAATTGATGACCCCCCTAGCTCCCCAGAACAAAATGGGTGGAGACCCCCATCCTCCCTCTTAAAATCATCATCACCCCCCTAGCCATAAATTATGAACGGTCCCTAAGCTGACAAAAACTTAGAGGCTACAAATATTGCAACACAAGTTAGAACACACAAGGAAAACTCACCACAATACAAGGGAAAGTCACCACAATGCTAGGCAAACTCACCACAATACAGGGGAAACTCATCACTTGACAAAAGGAAACCCATCACACACCACAAAGGAAACTCACCATGATGCAAAAAAACCATGACTCCATATGACAAATTCACTACTATTCAGGAGAAACTCACCATTGTACAGAAGATATTCACAATAACTCACCAATATGCAAAGGAAACTAATTACACAAGAGAACCTCACCACAATACAGGAGAAACTCACCATTGTACAGAAGATATTCACAGTAACTCACCAATATGCAAAGGAAACTAATTACACAAGAGAACCTCACCACAATACAGGAGAAACTCACCATTGTACAGAAGATATTCACAATAACTCACCAATATGCAAAGGAAACTAATAACACAAGAGAACCTCACCACAATACAGGAGAAACTCACAAATACACAAGTAAACCTCACCACAGTACAGGAGAAACTCACCAATACACAAGTAAAACTTACCACAATACAGGAGACAAGTCAAACTAACCACAATACAGGAGAAATTCACCAATACACAAGTAAACCTCACCACAATACAGGAGAATCTCACCAATACACAAGTCAAACTCACCACAATACAACCGATGACCATGATGTTCTTGGTGTCCTTCCAGAACTTGGTTGTGACATAGGCACAATGGCAGATACGAAAAGTGAAGTACGCCATACATATGCCCTCAACAATCATCGTAGCCTGCAAAAACAACAAGGTCAGTGCCATATTTGGACAATTTATTATGATCTGTTCGTTATGTATATAATACATAAAGTATACATCTGAAAAACACATTGGGTATCTTTTTTTGTAAAGTATGATTAAAATTAGGCCAGGCAAACTCTTTGTTTTAAATAGCATCAGCAATGCTCAATCAGGGCATGATAAGATACGGTCAACCAGGTCAGGAAAAGTAAACAGAATCCTCATTCTAGTCAGCTCTTTCAACAAGCGAGGTTCTGAAGACATGTGTTTGTTCCTTTAGACATAATATCCTCTATGTCACCTGAATTTGCAGTTAGGTAAACCTTGCCTAGCCCCTGAACTTTTCCAAAGGTTTTTGCGATTGCGATTCCTGACCTTGATTTTCGTTATCATGTCAACAAATGTCAACATAAAGGAAAAACTCCTACCACCTGCCAACCAAGCCATCGCCAGTTTAAATGGACATGATGACAGCCTTTCCATCATAAATAGTTTTGAGTGGTTTCTTTAGCATGTTAGTCCATTTTTCAATGTTGAATTTCTTACAAACTCCATCATAATCAATGGCCATGTTGGTGATATTGGTAACCCAACATTGAAGCTGGTTTGTAACTTGGATTCTGACTGGTACATTAGACTTAGTAATACAGACAATGATCAGAAACAAGAATAGTTCCAGGGATGTTTGCTGAAATTCTAGTCTCGTAGGATGTGGACATACTGGTACATGACCTTGTTAGCTTGTTTCAGTGATCCTGTAGGTTTCAACATGAGATGGACCTATTGGTCAGTTGATGACTTTATAAGGTCATGTAACTCTCACCCAGTATGGCGCCAGCCAGCCAGGAACGGCAGGGTGCTCCACCAGGGCAAGGGCAAGGTCAATGATGATGAAGAAGTACAACAGCCATCGCAAGTAGAACTTGTGGTATAATATATAGGCTCTGAAATGTAAAAGGGAAAATTTTATCATCAATCATTTTATATTTACACTTAAGTTAGAAAGGTTATGCATACATTATTATCCTTTATGAACAGCTTACTTGCTATTTGTAAACATAGAGAATTTTCTGAGTTTCATCTTCATTTTATTGTAACTATGTGTAACTTTAGCAAAATTTGTTTGTTTGTTGCTCATAATAACACCGCACTCAGCAATATTCCAACTAGATGACTGCAGCCTGTAAATAATCATGACTGGGCCAGACAATCCAGTGACTGACATCATGAGCATTCATCTACACATGCATCAACCAAGTCAGTGGCCTTTTACAACTTCAGCAAAATGTTGAATGGCATCTGAATACAGTCTAAGCTAAAAACTAAAATAAATACTTTCCAAAACTTATACACAATATTTCATAGACATTAAGTAAATGTCACTAGCGTCATGTATATGTGATATCATTGCCAGTCAGGCAACACTCATATACTTTCACTTATCCAATCTTGCGTATGCCTATTATTGGATCATGGGTGAGTGAGTTGGGCTTCAAGCCACTTTGACCAGTACTAAAATAATGTTAACTATAATTCATGAACTACAAGTTTCAAGGAGCTTGAAAACTGGATTAGCGTTTAAATGAGTGAGTTCATGCGATGATCTGATTGGTCAAATAAACAGCCTTGTTGATGTGATGCTATGATTGGTCAAATAAATGGCCCTTTGGAATTGTTCTCCAATCCTTCAGCGGCAATAACATATAGCTTACTTCACATGATCATGGTCCGTTTTTGAATTCCATGTTCCGACCCCGTTTTGCGTCTAACACCAGAGTTGCTGCAAGCAACAATTTCTGAAAACAAAATGACAAGTTGTTCACAATCGTATTTATATAAACCATGTCCTCTAAACATTTTCTAAAAACACTTTTACTATTTTCTAGAAAACACAATTACTATTCATGGGTGGATCCAGGAATTTGAAAGGGGGTGGGGGGTGTTTTGAACCCCCTGAACCCCCCAATTGGCTTCGCCAACGCAAATAAAATCTTCAATGTGGTCTTAATTTGTTTTCAAGGGGCGGGGGGTCGAACCCCCTGAACCCCCCTCTGTATCCGCCAATGCTATTCTTGAACATGAAAATAATGATTTCTTCATTGTTTATGTACCGGTAACTGTATTCTGGTGAAAAGAATATTGTTTGTTCAGTTTACGTTCAGATACGTAAGCCTGGTTGAGTTATGTGCCATCACAAGGATCTGTAATCCTGATATAGCCAAGTTTCTGTATTAACCTCCAACACCCTTCTTTATATACTGATATTATTGAAATGTACACCATTTTAACTTTCAAATCCATTACATATACTGAAAAGAACAATGAAATTGTATACCCTTTTCACTAACAAACACCCCTCTCCATTTTGGATTAATACAGTGAAATATTATTGCCTATTTCACTTAAAAGACAGTGTTCTCTACATATAGAATAAAATGATGAAATTGTATACCAGTGCCTTATTCTCTGTCAGACACCCCTGTCTTACACATACTGATTAAAACAATGAAATACGAGTAAGTAAATGAGTGAGTTGGGTTTTACACTGCTTTAGCAATTTTCAAGCAATATCATAGTGGAGGACACCAGAAATGGGCTTCACACAATGTACATGATGTACCCATGTGGGGAATAGAACCTGGTCTTTGGCGCGACGCACAAATACTTTAACCACTGGGCCACCCCACCGCCCCCAATGAAATATGAAGAGATTATTTTTTTAAGTCAGAAATTTTCATTCCTTTGGTACAAAATAACATACAAAGCATTAGACATTTGATGATCTCAAATTACTCATGTCTGCATGTAAAGAGCATTATGGCCAGGTGGAATTAGACCACATCCTATACACCTACTATCTCATTCATTGATCCTGTCTAGTGTCCATTTCAAGTCAAGACACTATGATGTATGAGAGGTGTGAATATATGTCACTACTTTTAAATATCCACATGATTGCATTACATCATAATATCAGAGCTATTAGACAATCGAAATGTGTATTGAATGACTATTAGACAATCGAAATGTGTATTGAATGACCTCCCTGAAACTTTCAGGGACATATGGCCAAAGATGAGTCCTATGTTATTACTAATGATATTCAAGGCGGATTATTGTAGTTACCTATGATTCTCCCACACACTAAATACTAACAATAATAATAAGTCATCTTCTATTATAAGCGTACAGTCTGCTTGCGGCGCTTAATCAGAATCTGATTATTATTATCCCGGATAACCCAAGCTGCCTGTTAGGTGCTAGAAGGTTATAGTCACATGACTTTATCCAACCGGGTAGCCATTTTCTGCTGGGTGAACAAACTCACTTGCCTAAGGTGAGACCACATGTATGATACATGTGCTTCGTTGTGGGGCAGGACTGAAGTCCCAGAATCTCTCAGGAATCAAGCTGCCAAACACGGTCACCCATCCAAGGACTGTCTGAGCTTGAGAATGCTTAACTTCAACTGATTTGTGACCTGAGCTCTATGCACAGGACCACACACCACTAAACTGAGCTATTATCGTTTCATATACTAAAATATACCTGCTGACTAGAATATATATTTCCGGTAAGCATATGTATCTGATCCTTACATTGAACCCTCACAAAAACAACTGAATATTATGAATATCTGACATGTGTCCCTTTTATGAAGCAAAGAGGTTTGTAATTTGTTCAGCTTTCCCTTTTGTTCAGTTTAAAGTTCCCACAGCAGAAATCTAGACCAGTTTCAATAATATGGATGGGGGTTGTGGTTAAAGTGTTCGCTCGTCACGCCGAAGACCCGGGTTCAATTCCCCACATGGGTACAATGTGTAAAGTCCATTTCTGGTGTCTCCTGCCGTGATATTGCTGGAATATTGCTAAAAGCAGCATAACATACTCACTCACTCAATAATACTGACATCAACAAAACCGACCTACTTGCATAAAATATTCATACGACTTTTAAAACTCACATAGTTGAGAAGTGATTGAGAGATTCATTAAAATTTTTGAAAAACTGTTTTTCAGGGAGCAGTTTCTTTTGCCAGTCAGTTAGATCATTCATAAAAGAATTATTTATATTTTCAACAATTATTCCAATAAAAAAATTGGGGGAATTTTTTTTACTGAAATATATTTTTATCTTAAATTTCACATCTGCATGTCCTATTGGTTCCTTAGGAACAATCCATAATAACTTCCCCAATGACCCATGGTGAAATCTTTATGGCAGGTGTAGAATAAGGGAGACAACTCATCTCTGCTGATATTAACTGTGGGTGTCAGAGGCATTCATAATCTTGACCTACAAGTTTCAATGACCTGGTGGTATATTAGTCATTCCAGTACATCAAATATGCAGCATCTTCACATAATTATTTCCACATTATTCATTGTACTTACAGATAATATATTCTAACATTATATAAGTTCTGAAACCTCAGATATCATGCAACTGTTTATTTGTAATATTGATAAGTAACTTCAATGAATGAGAGCCACAGTCCAGCTAAATCTTCAAGTTTTGGATAGAAAAACCAGTGGTTGACATAACAAGCGATAATTCATGTCATCAGGATACAACAAGTTGTAGATACAACACACATTGTGACGACTCCACATTATCTGCCAAGCATGAGACTCTGGGGTAAGGGTTGCTTTAAGGTATGAGGTGCTGTGGCAGGGGGCTTTAAGGCATTGGATCCTTGGGTATTGGGTGCTTGGGAAGAAAGGGTGCATTGGCCTGGGATGCTGGGGTGAATTCTCAGTGAAAATCGGAACAGAGCAGGACAGAGAAAGAACTACTGACACTATTGTTGCAGACACTAACAGTTCAGTAATGATTAAAAGATGCAGTTCTTGTAGGCTGAAATTAACTTTCCTTTCATAGAACTGGTCGAGCAATACTATATCCATCTGTGTGTTAATGTTAAATGTTTTTATAATGTAAATTGTTGTGACTGACATGCTTATTGAGACAAAAATATATATCATTGCACACATATTTCATAAAGGAAAATAAATACATTATTAGTCTCGTCAAGCAATATTATTTTCACAATTTTCATTACTGAGGTGTCTTTTATCAGTGATGTAAATTTAATGTTAGATCTGATTCAAACACAAAAAATGGAACTGATTATAATAGATTTATCTCTAATCTGCTGTCATGTGTAATTCTGAGCTGATAACATATACTGTGTGAATGATGCTGAGATCTTTAAAAATATATAAAACAATACAACTTACTTATCTGTGTACACATAAACATGAGTCAATGCAGAACATTAAATAGGATAAGCAGTTTGAGAGTTACCTCCTCGTTCACATTTGCATCGGATTCTTGTGTCGGTTTCTGTGCATATATATCACCATCAAAGTGAACTTTCTTGGATGGGCTATCAACAGTGTCCCCTTCGCTGCTGGTATCATTCTTTCCGTTTTCTATACCAGAATCTGCCTCTGTTGTACTTTCGCCGACGTTGACGTCTATCATCACATCGTGATCGGCCATTGTGTACTCCCCGAACGCGTATGTTAATCTAGATAAGACGATGGACCCGTGTCATTTACAGTCCACTTCCACAACATGACACCGGTGATGAGAGGTCTTGAAACAAGGTTCAGTTAGCCCTGGGCAGAAAAGGACACTTTTGTAAATAAAAGTCTCCGATAAAACAGCTGTGGGCAGATTGTTCGCTTACACGCGTCAGAAAAAAATCTGGACTTTACTGTGTTCTCTCTCAACAACCATCAGCTGTTATTTGACACTTTGCACTTCCATCAAGGGGGCGTGGCGCATGTCGCAACTCCCGCGTCGTTACGTCAGTAGGCTATACTCTCAAACCGGCATGTAGTCTTTTGACTGGGCTCCTGTCTACCTAAACTGGTAAAATATATGAGCGCTAACCTTGCATCTCGTACAACGGTAGAACCAGTGTATGCATTTGTATCCCATTGGAAACATTGATATTGTATCACATTAATCTTCTACAGAGAAATATGTCACATGAAGGAACGTAATAAGGAAACAAATCCCACGGTAAAATATCTATTGTCAATCTTTTCAATTACACACTGGATCCAGAGTAAAAGGAACACAGTTCGGCGGAAAGATGGCGGAGAGTTCGGGAGATTCGGAGCGGGAAGGAAAGGCGATTCGAGTTGGCATCTTAACAGGTACGTCGTCATTTGATGTTTTGGATATCGGTTAAGAAAATCTGTCACTGATATTGACTTTGTTTTTTCAATTAACAGAGACAGGATCTAGCGCATTGGCATAAATAGAGGCGTGACATGAACTGTTAATCGTTTTTTGTTGTTATGTATGTGGAACATGTAGGCCTACTGCAGAGAGTAGATATTTGAGCTAATGCCAATATAAGCATGACCAGAAAATAACACACGTCCACGGTTGCAGCAAGCCTGTGGCATTTGTTGGGAAACGTTACAATCGCTTGACATGAATCCTCAATCAACCAATATCGACGATAATCGGGACTCTATTTACCTTTTGCGTGTCTTGTAGTTGTACACGGCTCCAGGTGTCGTTTTAGATACTGAGTGTTTACTCACATGTGTTATCGATCGCTTACCTAGACATGTGTTATCGAAAATAGGATGTGACTCCTCTGTCCACAGTTTCATATTCATCTGCGAATGCACCACTGAATTCCTCATACATTTTAGAGTCTTTGTCACTTTGTCGAATGGTCTTTGTCACCAATACCAAGTGTCTAGATGAAATGAGACGAAAGATATTGTTTGTGAAAATTTATGCTGTGTTCAAAAGACAGCGCTTATTTCCAATGAAAAAAAAAGAAAAATTCAGACTGTGTAGCATTTTCTCAAGTTTTCAGACACCCATTAATTCGTCTATTTGCAGCATGCATAGGCTCAATACTTTAACATTTAGAATATGCATGGAAAGATTATGGTAGCAAGAAATATGAAATTAGAAATATATACAATACAGTAATGTGATATGTTTATTCCAAATTGTCAAAGTTTCTGTGCAGCGTGACACCATGACTGACACAAAATCACACAGAACAGCGTTAATTATTGGCATTTCTAGCTTCTTCGCTTACTTAATTACAATGAAAATGATAAAAACACAATAAAACACGATTTTCATCATGTTCATTTCCTGCGCAATAATCGCACACATGGAAATTTACCAATGAGAGCTGTTTTCTGTTTCCAAGTCATTCAGAGATTTACAGAAACTTTTGAGGTTTACCGAAGAGAGGCCAGATGTTTGTTCAAAGCAGAGGGTAGTGCTAACAGACATGGGTTCAATATATTAATACTGTGCTAATGTGAGGGTCAGTGGTCAAATATGAAATGCAGTTGGACAAATTGAATACGATGAGCAGAAAGGTAAAAGAATGACCTACAAACTCAACACAATGTTTTGTGAAAAACGTAAGGTTTGATTGAACCGCACATTGAAATAGTCGGGCTGTCCGGTTTTCGAGTTATTGTCCAAACAGTGATTTGAACCCCTGTGGATTGTAAGATTGTAATCTTGGGAACCAGTAAAAACAAATATATATAAAGGGAAGTGTCCTCGCAAAATCCTGTGTGCCCATGTCAGCAAAGCCGCCATTTTGTAATAAATCAGTCCTCGGTAGTGATGTCATATGTCAACATTGTTGTACATATTTGGCAATTTCTTTGAGGTGAAGGTCAGTTGAATAAGAGTGAATACATCATATCCCATTGATACACTTCAGTATTATAATGTATATTTTGCGTATCAGTCAGATACTTTTCTTGAAACTAATTTCATTACCTATATGATATTTTACGTGGATATAGGGTATACGTTTTTTTATTCTTTGAAAGTTTTTGTTTGTTTGAATAATATTTACATAAGAAAAGGACACATTTAGTGAAGTACACCTTATTTTAAACCTTTACACAAGTGAATATTAGTAGATTAAACGTAGGCGTAACTAACATGTACTTTAGTTCCTATGCTGTGCAATATTCGATACTGGGGACCAATATTACAGTTTCATATGAACAGGTTAATGAAGAGTGAATTAATTTAACATTATAAGTATTACTTGTTAATGAAACAGTGTTGATGAAAATGATTAATATATTTCATTAAATGTATTTGCTCACATATAAATAGGAATTATCTTGTTCATTGAATTTGTTTATTTTGTTTTTTTACTAAAGAGTGACGTATACTGATTCGCCAGGTGTGCGTTTGTCACAAACGTTTTATGATTCACTATCATTGCTTTCGATGATACATTATAATCAATTCCTATTCGGAAAAAAATATTGTGTTACTTTGTTGTGACAGGATACCAAATTGTAGCTATGTTTCTACGAAAAGTCACATTATCATAAACAAAGAAAAGTCTTATCCTTAAAAATATGTTTGTGTGCTTTGTAGTAATCATTTTCATTTACATTAAATTGATGTCAAACAGGTGCACTTGTTGTTCACATTAAGATACACAGTCAAACCATCTAATTGTTGATCTATTGAGGACGTTATTTAAATGGTAAAATCAGTCATTTTATGTTCTGTCGAAATTTTGACAGAGTAGCCAAGACCTTTTATACAATTAATGGGAATTAGGTGAGATATATACTAATTAACATACCATTTATCTTTCTCCGACATCACAAAATACATAAAACAAGCTTTAAGCCATGATATCAACTAAAGTGTTGTAACATTTTCAGTAATTTCATTACACTTAAAGTTAAACATATGGCAAATTTAGTCAAAACACATCATAATAAACACTAGAATGTAGGAATCTAAGTACTAATTTACATGTTGGATAGGGCCATCCAATTTGCTGTTAAATGCTTTCTAATGTAACATGGTCTAATCATTTCTTATAAATTGTGATATTACCAAAACGTATCTGGTTACAGTGTGGATCTTTGGATTGGAATAATTTGGTTCATCGTGAACTAAACATCATGAAAATATAGTGTCCATATCCACAGCAAATTCTCTCCAAGTAACCTCAGTTACAAGTACCTAGTAGTATTAAGCATAGCAGAGTTATGCCCCCTTATCTTTATACGTGTATGACATCTAGGACTGGGACAATTCACTGATATCGGGATGCATTTAAGTTTGATACAGCTATTGTACCGTGGACTGGTATATTGATACAAACGATACTTTTTTTCAAAACAGTATTATCTTAAACATGTTACAGTACTTGTTTAGAGAAAAATACGCAAGTATGATGGACGGAGTTACTTGTTTGTTTATTACAATAGTGTTTTTGTTAAAGTAAATAAGTTGAAGTAAATCATTTTAAATCTTGATACCATGTCATTCTTTCAAGTTGTATGTATCGTGATACGTATCGTATTGCAGGTAAAAAAACGCGATATGTAAAGTATCATGGCATAGTGTATCGTCCAAGCCCAAATGACGTCTCTGTTGTGGTTTGATGTCATACTCATAGAGGAAAGTCAATTTTGACATTTATTGCAAATCATTTTTTTAGATTGAGTGTATACATAAGCACACAAAGCAATTTCATATATACTTCGTTCAGATATTGGGCACTATTTTGTTTGCTCACACTTTCCGTAAAGATGCCAAATTATAAAAATTGTTGCCTATTGCTTTTATCGGTGCTTGATAAAAAGCAGAGAAATTTACTGTATTTTAATGCATTACAAAATTTATGACAATATTTGGCAGTGTCTAATTTTCAAACTGCTAAAGTATTTGCAATTAAGTTTACACCATCAGATAGGAAATTTGATATTCTACATTTGTGTGTGATTTCATAGCTGTAGGTAGACCCAGTGCCAGGCAAACGAAATTGTTCACGCAACATTCACTTTCCAGATCTTATCAAAATGTGCATCAGAAAAAGAACTCGGCATTCAGGGGGTTAAGCTAGATATGATTAGCATGATTATTGTTTTATTATTGTCCCCTGCCGCAACGCGGAACGGGGGACTATGTATTCAGCGGCGTACGTACATCCCGATTCTTGTTAACGCGATATCTGATGAACTTTTGTACCAAATGTCTTCAAATTTGGTGACAGCCTACATTTGGAAATTACGCAGACACCAGTGTATTTGGGTGACCTTGACCTTATTTTCAAGGTCACCTGGACACTTTGACCACTTTTCAAACTCTTGTTAACGCGATATCTCATGAAATGTTGTACCCAATGTCTTCAAATTTGGTGACAGCCTACATTGGGGGATTACGCAGACACCAGTTTATTTGGGTGACCTTGACCTTATTTTCAAGGTCACCACGACACTTTGACCACTTTTTAAACTCTTGTTAGTGTGATATCTCATGAACTTTGACCACGTTTTAAACTCTTGTTAACGCGATATCTCATGAAATGTTGTACGCAATGTCTTCAAATTTTGGTGACAGCCTACATTGGGGGATTATGCAGACACCGGTTTATTTTGGTGACCTTGGCCTTATTTTCAAGGTCACCACGACACTTTGACCACTTTTCAAACTCTTCTTAGCGTGATATCTCATGAACTGTTGTACCCAATGTCTTCAATTTCTATAGTATGCATCGCCATGACTTCAGGTAAAACTGACAGTCTACCAAACCACGAGGAGGAAAAACAGCCTACATTGGGGGATTATGCAGACACCAGTCGATTAGAGTGACCTTGAACTTATTTTCAAGGTCACCATGACACTTTGCACACTTTTAACTCTTGTTAACGCGATATTTCATGGACTGTTGTACCCAATGTCTTCAAATTTGGCGACTGCCTACATTGGGGGATTTCACAGACACCAGTTATTTAGGTGACCTTGGCCTTATTTTCAAGGTCACCATGACACTTTGAACACTTTTCCAACTCTTCTTAACACGGCATCTCATGGACTGTTGTACCCAATGTCTTCAAATTTGGTGACAGCATACATTGGGGGATTACGCAGACACCAGTTGATTTTGGGTGACCGTGACCTTATCTTCAAGGTCACGACTAACACGACACTTTGAACACTTTTCCAACTCTTCTTAACACGGCATCTCATGGACTGTTGTACCCAATGTCTCCAAATTTGGTGACAGTTTACATTGGGGTATTACAAAGACACCAGTTGATTTGGGTGACCTTGACCTTATCTTCAAGGTCACCATGATACTTTGACCGCTTTTTAAAGGAGATATCTCATAAAACATTCCACCCAATGTTTTCAAGTATGTTGACAGCCTACATTGGGTGATTATGCAGACACCAGTCATTTCAGGCATCTTGTATGTGACCCAAAAATAGAAAGTAGTAAATATAGATATTCCATTCTTTAGCGGCTGGGGACATTGCCATATCAGTGGCAAACACTTGTTTATTATTAGAGCTGACTGTAAGGTTGACCCTCACAAAGTATTACTGTAAGTGAAGGAGAAGACTTGTATCATGTTAGAATGACCTCAGAATGTTTAAGGGCCTACCACTTGATTCTGATGATGATGGAAATGATTTTTAATAAAATTGAAATTAGTTTTATCTAGAAAATGCTGGAAGAAAATATTTTGGCCTCTGAAAATCAGGTCACTTTGACCTGCTGGACAGGCTGGGTGTGTTACCTTCCTAACATATTTAATGCCTTGAAGCAATGGCTAATGAAATAAGTTGCCAAGAAAAATTCCATGGCACCTCCACAGTTGAACACAAAATTGATTTTATTTTTGCCTGCCAATGGATTATCAATTATTTCAGATTACTTACGATTTGTCAATGTAACTGAAACAACTGCTTCCACAATATTGGTGTAGAAATAACATTACCATGATGACAGTGTGACAGGAAGATTGTAACCATGGCTACCACTTGGTGCATTACTGTCATGGTAGTATGATCTGGCAGGGAGAGTATGCATCAGTGTTGTCATAGTTGATCAATGTGTACATACCTGAAGCATGGATGTTTAAATAGGAATCACACAAGTGTCATAAACAGGATACATATAGCACCAGATTGTGACATATTGTGCATGTGCTTTCCAAATGAAAAGGGATAATAAAAATAATATTTTATTGTGCGTTTATGTTTACTTTTTTGGTCAACTACACTGATAAATATTTACTGATGGTTGTCAAAAATCAGGTCGCTTATCATCTCAGGAATTTTCATGTATATCAACATCTATCCTAGGGAATGTGTACACGATCCAGCAATCATATGATAATTAGACATTCATCAACTACCTTTAACATGTTTCAAATGTACATTTGCAAAATTGTTAAAGGATGCATGGCAGAGATAGCACTGATGTTGTCATGTTTGTGTACATGCATTTTAATTTCCGAAATGACAATACTGGTTCAGTTTATGGTATATTATTTACACAAAAGAAATCACTTTAATATGTTAAAGAAACTGAAGCTTTATTAGTGAGAAAATATGTAACTGCCCCTTGTAGCTAACAGTAGTGTCTGCGTGTGTTCATTCTGGCTCAGAGGTGGTGGGGTATTCTTGTGGTTAAAGTGTTCGCTCATCACGCCAAAGACCCGGGTTCTATTCCCCACATGGAAACAATGTGTGAAGCCCATTTCTGGTGTCCCCCGACCCTGATCTTGCTGGAATATTGCTGAAAGTGGCGTAAAACCAAACTCACTCACTCATTCTGGCTCAAAGATGTCATTTCTCTTCGGGGGTAGAGGGCCATGAATATCAACAGATCGCATAGAGTTTAGTGTAAGATTTACCAAAGACTCTTTTATGTAATTGTCACATATATTTATTCATTGACATCTGATATATGAGAAGTATTTCGTGAAATCTGGGTTAGAATTGGTCTTCAGAAACTTGCTAAATGTGTTTATAATGAAAATTATATGGCATGTTATTGTCCCCTGCCGCAACGCGGAACGGGAGACTATGTATTCATCGGCGTCCGTCTGTACGTCCTAATTCTTGTTAACGTGATATCTCATGAACTGTTGTACCCAATGTCTTTAAATTTGGTGACAGCCTACATTGGGGGATTACACAGACAACAGTTGATTTGGGTGACCTTGACCTTATCTTCATAGTCACCAAGACACTTTGAACACTTTTCAAACTCGTTAACGTGATATTCACATGTACTGTTGTATCCAATCTCTTCAAATTTGGTGACAGCCTACATTGGGGGATTACGCAGACACCAGTTGATTTGGGTGACCTTGACATTATCTTCAAGGTCACCACGACACTTTGACTGCTTTTCAAACTTATTTAAATGCAATATCTCATAAAACATTGCCCCCAATGTTTTCAATTATGTTGACAGCCAACATTGGGAGATTATGCAGACACCAGTCATTTCAGGCATCTTGTATGTGACCAAAAAATAAAAAGTAGTAAATATAGTTATTCCATTCTTTAGTGGCGGGGGACATTGCCATATCAGTGGCAAACACTTGTTGACATTTCTTTCAGTGTTTTTTTTTTCAGTTCAGATTTTTAAGTTAGGAAGGATGTTTTTTTAACATTTAAAAAAAAAGTAAAGTACAAACTAATAACACATTTATCAATGTGTAATATTTTTTTTAATCAAGCTTGCCGCCATCATGTTGACTTTTGCTATCAGAATGACCGATGTCCGTCAGGGTAAAACAATAGTATTTGAACGCTTATTTTATTTATACTGCTTAAAAAAATAGGGTCGGCACCAGAATTCAAGGGTCGGTTGGGTAATCGGAACCACAACATTTTTTTTAGGCCTCATATATTTAGTTGGTCTTGTTTCAGTGAGTGACAGCTGTTTCTCAGGCCAGGTGGAGGATAAGAGTGGACAAAACTTGAAATCCCTGATAGAGGAGAAGAAATTGTAAGTGTAACTGGATTACCAGGGTTCAAGTTAACATATCCCAGCTGGGATTAAGGAGGGGATAAGATGACCCCAGCAACCTATGCTGGTCTGAAGAGGCGACTTACATTGCATAGATCAGTGCTCATCATATTATTCCCTACATTGCCTAATCCAGATTGATTATTTGCAATCTGCTGTAATAAAGCTAGAATATTCTGTGAGTTCTGCATGAAACAACAAACAACAAAATGAAATTGACATAAGTTGGTAAACCAGTAAATATAGTAAAATACAGAATATATGAACATGGTCAGAAAGAGCTCCTTTTTGTTATATTTTATTAATTTAATTTATGAACCGTTTATTTTTCTGTAAAATATCTCCATTTCAGTGACGAGGTGTGAGTCTTAACTAACTTCTACATTAACGGTTGTGTTTTGGGGCCAGTAAACAACATGTAGTAACAGTATGCTTGGGATCTGGAGTGGCTCTGTTCCCTCCTGTATGTTCCTCTGTCTTGTTTCAGAATTAATGGAGAAGTTTGTGTGAAGGAAATTGTACCAGATGAAGTTCAAAGGATAAAGGTAGGAAGGATTTATGCCATTATCATGCTGATGTTATATTTGATAACCAACCTTCTGAGAAATAATCAGATTTGTAATTCAGGGTTTTACATAGCTCTTCGAACCTAGGAGCCCTGGGGACTCAGGGCATATTTTTTTGAGAGTCCATTTCCAAAATTGGGAGTCAATCAATTTGCATGAAATCAATGATAATGGATGCTTCCCATTTGATAATGATTACGTTATGATATGTGTTACTTTCAATGTCATTAGAATAATGACTGTAAATAAAATGTTTACACATTAATATAGGATGTCTTTACAAACTCAGAAAGTTCTTTCCCAGAAAAAAATTATACTACGTCAACAAGGACTCACAGGATTTTAGTTTGGGGGTACTTCACCGAATTTCTGCGTCCAATACGCAGGAATCTTGCGTCCCCTAACCCTGGTAATTTGGATAGGAGACAAAGGAATCAACAGATCATAGTGAATTAGTAACAATCTGAGCTTGGTGACTGTTGCGGGCATGTTGCCTCACAGAACTAACCATGCTGAAAGCATTTAGTTAAAAACACTTTCACTATTGTAACCTTGTTACAATCAGATTTTGGTGTTTGGTACTGCTGCACAAAGCTCTGAGGACATAACGTTACTGAGATGAGATGGTGGTGTGGGGTCGTGTGTCTGGAGCCCAGGTCACAAATTAGTTAAGCAATTTTGGTCACAGAGAGTCCTTGGATGGCTGACCGTATTTGGCAGCTTGACTCATTAGAGTTTCTAGGATTTCTGTCCTGCCCCACAACAGAGCACATATGGTGTGGTTGGGTGAATGTTTATTCCGATATGATCTGAAATGGGATGTATTGCAAGCAAGAGGATCTAATCATAAGGAGGTTCATGACAATTGTTGCAATTTTTGTACCATATTTGTGCTTGTATGTTGAATGACTTTTAACCTATGTATGTGTTTCATTATGACATCCAATTATACTCTGTCTTCTAGTTCTTCGTGTTCATGATGAAACAGCATTTTTTATCCCCCGGGGGGTATTAAAATGGAATCTGTCCGTGCGTCCGTCCGTCCGTGCACATTTGTCTTTTCCGGAGCAGAACTCTAAAACCGTTCTCTATTTCTTCACCAAACTTGGCACATAGATAGATCTAGTGGTGTACTGGTGCCTTTTGGTAGTTTTGGAATTCTGAATAAAACATTTTTGGTGTTTCCATGGCAACAAGTTCGACTTAACCTGAAATTGGTGGTAGTGCTTTTTTCCGGAGCTGAACTCTAAAACCGTTCACTATTTCTTCACCAAACTTGGCACATAGATAGATCTGGTGGTGTACTGGTGCCTTTTTGGTAGTTTTGGATTTCTGAATAAAATATTTTTGGCATTTCCGTGGCAACAAGTTTGACATAGACTGAAATTGGTGATAGTGCTCCTTTCTGGAGCAGAACTTTAAAAACCTTTCAATACTCTCCTTCCACTTTTCTATATACACACCTAAATATTTGACATAATCATAACTCGTAGACATAATCATGAAGAGTATTTTGCCATTGCGGGGGATATTGATGACTTTGTCTTCTTGTTGTTTGTTCTGTTTATGTAATGTTCTTAATGGAAATACCTATCAACATATTGATAATAGTTTTGACTTTTGATTGATCAATTGATGATTTAATGTATTGCCTGCATGATACCAGGTTGCTGGCTGTTTCATGATGCTGATGCTCTGCATCAACCTGTTGTTGTACTTCAAGGAGTATAACTAGCTGTCTGTTTCTTGAATCAGGATCTCCTCATAGACTGGACAGACAACCTCAAGCTGGACCTGATCCTGTCCACAGGGGGAACTGGCTTCACTGCACGTGATGTCACGCCAGAGGTAATTTTCATTTGTCAGAAACACAAGTTAACATTCTGTGGAGTTTAGATTATTATCCCCACCACGAGTTCTAAAGCTTCAAACAGAGTTACAATTTGTTTCAGAGTTATGGCCCTTGTCATGCATTTCTTGACTTAGTTCATGGTATCCCCAATGGGGACAGATTTCCTAAGAAACCGTTCTAGTTTGGGAAATCAAATTTGATATGTGTTTTAAGGACATGAATGCCTTGATTGAGTTTGAAAATGGAAACTGTGTTACAATTTGTTACAGAGGTATGGCCCTTGTCATGCATTTCTTGACTTTGTGCACGGTATCCCCAATGGGGACAGATTTTCTCAGTAACCGTTACAGATAGGGAAACCAAAATGGTTATGTGTTTTCAGGACATGAATGCCTTGATGGATTTCGAAAACGGAAACCTTGTTATAATTTGTTACAGAGTTAAGGATCTTGTCATGTATTTCTTGCACGGTTTCCCCAGTGGGGACAGATTTTCTCAAAAACTGTATAGATAGGGAAACTAGATTTATGATGTGTTTTCAGGACATGAATGCTTTGATGGAGTTCGAAAATGGAAACTGTATTACAATTTGTTCCAGAGTTATGGCCCTTGTCATGCGTTTCTTGATGTAGTGCATGGTATCCCCACTGGTAACAGAATTTCTCAGTAACCATTCTAGATAGGGAAGCCAAATATGGTGTGTGTTTTCAGGACATGAATGTCGTGGTGGATTTTAAAAAAAGGAACCAAATAGGAACAGAACCCTGTGGCAGGGTATATTGATTACCATGTCTTCTTGGGATTGTGTTAACCGAATATATTCCTAGTACCTTTTTCCTCTTTAGAATTCTAGGACAGACCAGGTTCCCAGAACCCAATACTTTCCTCTCCCGTGTGAAAGCATACAGTGTACCAATGTAATCATGGTAATAGTTTGTGAATTGATTCCAACTATAAATGTCTGTTTGACAAATTTGCCTTTGCAGGAATTGAGTTGAAGGGTCCTGAACAACTACACTGCTTCTGTTGATTCTGTGTTCTAAACACAACTGGTCTGCAATTCACTGTGCAGAGTTACATCCCTTACACCAACTTCACCCGGTCTTTAGATTTGTCTGCAACAAGCCATCCTGGTGAATTTAAACAAGGTGGTAAATGTCTTTGTCCCTTCAGGCTTTCCACCCCGTCTGGCTAAGACACCCTGGAATACTGTTCAAAAGCAGCTGTAGACATTACTTACTCAGTTGTAAATCTTGTGATGTGTTTCTCTACAGGCTACTAAGGCAGTGCTGGACAGAGATGCTCTGGGAATCACCGTGGCCATGTTAACCGGCTCTCTCAACATCACACCATTGGCGATGCTGTCAAGGTGAAGGAACATTTTCTGTAATAACATGTATCGTATCTAGTGTTCACATTAGAATATGTATCCAGCAATCTGTTCTGGATGTTAGAGGTGACTCAGTGGATCTGATGTTGAGGTTCAGTGACTCGGTTCATGTCCTTGTTCCCTAATGGTGCAGATGGCTGCTTACAATATCGACCACTGGGTTGTCTGCCATACGGCAGGAATACTGTGTGACATAAAGGAACAACCAACCAACAGTAAACCTGAATCATGTCTTACTAAGCTCATACATGTTGCGACCGCCTCTGTGGTGTAGTGGTTAGAGCATCCGCCCGGAGAACGGAAGGTCGCGGGTTCGATCCCCGATCGCGTCATACCAAAAGACGTTAAAAATATGGTACTTGTTGGTCCCTGCCTGGCGCTCGGCATTAATGGGTACAACAAGGACTGGTTGGCTCGGAGTCAGTATAATGTGTCTGAGTGGGGTATTCATACTTCACTGCGGCATGGTATCTCAGTGGGCTAGCACTATAAAAACAGCTTCAGTCTGGGCTAGTACAAGCAGCTGCACATACACACGCATGCACGTCATCATATGAGCGAAATATTCTCAAGTACGACGTTAAACCCAATTTCACCTCACCTCACCTCATACATGTTGCAGATTTCACTAAAGTTATGATGGATTTTCTCAGGTATCAAGTCAGTTTGCCGAGATGACAATGTTCTAGTGTTTGAAGGGACTTTTATCCCAGCTTGGATACCCACTCTCACACTCATTATTTATTGTTGTAACCATTGTAACTGTTTCCTTTTCTTAATTACATGAGATATGTTTCAGGTTGACCTGTGGCATCAGGAAGAGTACTCTCATCATCAACCTGCCTGGCAGCACCAAAGGGTCAGAGGTGAGTACGTCTTGTAACTCCATGTGACCTATTTAAATCTATGTAACACGATGTGACCAATGTAACATGTTCATGGTGAATGGAGTGTCATCGTACGTTGATGGTTGATAGGATTTCATCATGCCCTGTTGATGTGGATCATTGCTCATACTTGATTGTCTTGTATAGATTTGATTATTTACAGGACGTTGCCTTGTGGCCAACATATTGCTGATTGTGTCATTGAACAATAGAGGTGTGACGATACAGAAATTTCACGATACGATACGTATTGCGATATCTTGGAACGATACGATTCGATTCGATGCATCTCACGATATGCTATCTTTAGTTATTTTCTTTCAAAATGTATATTTTGGTAGCAAGTAACAGTGTAAATTTTGACATAACCACCAATTTCTGGTGAAAATTAATAATAACGATACATATCACGATATGAAAAAAAGTATCGATATATTTATTGTCGGATAAAGTATCACGATTATTGATACTACGATATATCGTCGCAGCTCTATTGAACAACAAATACAAACACACAGTGACATACCTCCATTCAGTTTCCTTGATTGCCCCACTTCATGCAGTTTTAGTTGTAATATTTGTTTTCCACCCAGGAATGTTTCCGGTTTGCTGCAGTGGGTGTATCCCATGCTGTAGACCAGCTGCAGGGATCGCGAGAGAGTGTGAGGTCAACACATGCAGACCTTCAGGAGGAGGGCATCCGCTCCACCGAACCAGGACAGATTCAGGTATGTTACGCATGAACATGTCTCTTAGTCAACCTCAGTGTATCCTGGATGGTCCAGGGTCATGTGTGTCAAAGATTGAAACGCTACGATTATCGTAACTCCTATAAATTAACACAGAGTTATGGTAGTCATGTTGTTAGGAGTGCTTCATGAAATGGGACCCAGTGCCTCATGTTTGTGAAAGTTCACTTAATGTTTGGTAAATACTTCTGAGGGTTGTATACTCTATACTCTGCCTGCCGTGATATTGCTGGAATATGGATGAAAGCGGCGTAAAACTTACCTCGCTCACTCCATTTCCCATGAATACATAAGGCGTCAATGTCGGGTAGTTACTGTTTCCGAAACAAGGAATCAATTCCAGGAGTAGGAAGTCAGCGAGTACAAGACGATCAGTTCACAGAGTACCGTTGATGTCAATACTTCTCTCTAGACGTAATGGGCTACGTCCCTGTATCTATCTCTTCTACATATTGCTTTTATATAAAGCAATGGCAGTTATTACACAGGGTTCATGCACAGAAAAGGTTTCATTTGACCTCATTTCATTGTCTTTCTGAAAAAAACACATGCATCTTTAACATCCAAAACTGACTTCACTTGGGTGAGATAAATGATATCTTCTAGGAGATATTATAGCAGCAAGATTCTCTATATAGGAGCTGTATGTATTCAGGGGTGATGTATATTCAACCCATGCAGTGCTTCAGCCAGGCAAGCGCCATTGCGCCATTCACACTAAAATATATGCAATGGCACTCTTTTTCAATGCTAGAGCCCCATTGGCGCAACTTATATTATAATCCACAGGTCTTCTATACCATGGTTACCATGAATGGCAAAAGTCTCAACTGCATTGGCACACATTTTAGTAGTTAAGGTGCCAATTGGCAACACTCAAAACAATTCTGGCTGAAGCACTGCCCATGGTGTTTGGACAATGACTGGAATGGGGATGTGATGGTTTATTGTCTTCTGTCTCATCTTTCCTAGAGACATTGATTATAGTTCATATTCCACCTGATATGCTTCAGTGGTGTAGGTTTAATATTGCTCACTGTGACATAAACAACATTCACTCACTGCAACAATGTTGCCAAATACTAGATGATTTTATAACATAACTGGCAGTCTGAAAATATCAAAGTTTGACACATTTTGTGTATGAAATGAATGCCAGCTGGTACTTATAAAAAAATGGACGAGTTTGTCTTTGTGTCTATTGCCTTCTGAAAAGTTGAGTAGAAGTTATCCCATGAACTAAGCATTTCCAAAAAGTGATTATGCCACAAAACACCTGCAGTCTCTTACTGTTGGCATGACTAGGTGTCAGACTTATCAAGCAGTGGTCTCCATGGATCGTCTTGGATTCCAGACTAAATGCCCTTGACAAGTTTATTCAGGTCAAATTATTATTTGTGTTAATTATTCAAAATTGGATTTGTCTGAAGTCCCTGTTTCTTACGTTCCGAGGTTGTTTAACATTTTAAATTGACACTACATTCAATAATGCAACACTAAATATTCTAGCTCTCCCTCTTGGTTTGACCTGACTTTGGTTACTCCTTGAAGCTATCACATTAGATAGGAGATTGGGAACATTATATTTCCAATCAGACAACATGTAATGACATTTGCTGCAAACTTGGGGCCTCATACTGTCCTGTAAGCAGGTGTAGATAAATCCCTGATCAGTCACAGAAAGAATGTTTGTATATTGAATTGTATTAGTATGAACAACCTGAGTAGCTACTTCACAGTTTTCTTCAACAATCTGACTTGTGTTGAAAGTCTGATGCCAAAATACTGATTTGTCACTTTATCAATAAGACTAAGTTCATATCTGTTTAGGAGACCTTGTGTCCTTACCAAATCTTTGAAATCATGGCTGTCTACTTGGTTTGATAGAATGTTTTAAAGCAGAAAATACATTTGTGGCCATTTTAGCCAGTTTGCTATATTTACATGATGGTCATCCATTGTCCATTAACATCCAGGAGGAAACTACAGTCCTCACCTGCTTCAGCCTCTGTATTTCATTGTATGATAAATATATCTCATATGATTCAGTTTTTGTTGTCTTTGTTTTTGATGCATCCTTTCCCTGTGTCCCTGCATGGCATTCGTTTTGCTGTTCTTTACCAATATCTTCTCGAGTGACCTTGGCCAAATTAACTGATCCCAAACTTTGCATGAGAGATAGTCTGATGTGGAGAGGGCTGGTAAATAATTTAAGAGAAAAATGTTAAAAGTGGACCAATAGTAATGTCATGATGATGGAACCATGATGTCAAATTTTGCAAGCGTGGTACCCATTTTAAACATTTTCTGACTACTCCTTGCCCATCATGTGCCAGTGTATAACTGTTTGTACATAAAACCCATTTCCTGTGTTTAGCACACCTCGGATGAAAGTATGGACAATTCAGTTGAGAGTCTTAACCAGGCACCAGATATTTCGGATCCTGTCATGGATGCTGAATTTCCTGGAACGGTTTCATTTGATGCCCTCGACACGCATCCATTGTCCAACTCCACTCCAATCATACCGGACTCCAACATAGCAGCACCAATGTCTCCTGGTTCTAACTGTCAAACACAAAACATCACTGAAGTACCCCATCATTCCGAGACACTGAATAAGGGAAATAACTCCCAACCAGAAGAGTTCACCCAGCTTTGTTTTCAAACTGATCAGCCCAACTCGAACCTTACTGAGGAACCGCTGACAATCATTGCTATGGTGCCCAATCAGAGTCACATCACTCAGCAGTCGTTTGACAAACAGACCAAAGACATCACTGAGCTGTTTCAGCTCCAAGGCAGCTTTGTTGATTCCAGTGAAGCAGTTCTTGCTTGTAAAACACCAGAGTTGCGACCTGAGATCCAGTGTTCTGATGTACCTGAGATGTTAACAATGCCTGAGTTGAGGACTCAGCCAGAAAACAGGCTGGACAGACATGGTGTTGGGATTTGTGATACACATGGGGATGTGTATGAGTTTAATGAAGAGGCTGATCGCGTTCGACCAGCTGCAGGCAATGTTCAGTCAAACACGTCTAATTCAGAGGAGCCGATCCTTCGTGCCAAGCTTCACAAGAGTGCAGATGATGGGGAGGTAACTCATGTGGAAGTGGGGTCTGCAGTAAAAACCTTTTTACGAACTCATCCAGCAATCCGAGGCATATACTTGAACAAAGGCAAGCGTGATGTGAAACGCAACCTGGTGCAGATGAGGAGAGAGACATTGGCAGTGGATGTGGGAAGCTGGCAGCGAGGAACTCACATACATGACAGAAATCGCCTTGACGACCACTTCGATCTAACAGAGGCAGGGGTGGAGAAGAAGAAGAGAGTGGAGAAGCGTCTGTCCCGGGATGAGTACGTGGTCAACTGGTACATGTGGTGCCCCGGACACGGCAACTGTCGCCGCAACTGTGGCGGATATGGCAAGTGTGTTAATGGTAAGTTGTAATTATTGTTTTGAAGTTACTTTGTGATGTGCCAGTTGGGGATTCTAGGTTAGCAACTTGTGCTGGTTGTAAGAGGCGACTGAATTGATATGGTGGCCAGGATTGTTGACTTGAATAGTGTGTCCCAGACAATATGGGTTGTTATTGCAAATCAATCACCTGAATTGATTATTAACAGTTCATCGTCATATAGCTGGAATATTGCTGTCATATGACAACAAACGAAGATAAATGTATGAACATTTTTGAATATTGTTGCAAGATTTGGAATATGATTGCATTTTCTTGACTCTTAAGTAAAGTAATTATTTTGAACTTACCTTAAAAACTTTTAATCTGAATTAAAATCTCACCTCTACATTACCTTCATTATGTTGTTAATACACAATGTTTGCTTGTATCAGAGTACAGGGATCTTTTTCGTCATTATTTGTTTGAATATATGGATAATTAGACTGAGTTCAATGCTATTTATGTATTGTATTAGGACCTCTAGTTGTTAATAATGATACATATAATAAAAAATTGTTCCCACATTATAAATTGAAAAGGTTTAATGTACAAAAAAATTAGATTAATTTTCTGTGCACCATTACATTTTGTGTTTGTGTCTGTTGAGGAATGTTTTGGTTTCCTCTGTTGCAGGCTGTAAAGGAAAGACCCACAAGCAGGACCGCCATAACTGCCGGCTGCTTGTAAACCTGAAGATGTTCCTCAGTGATACCGCCAAATGGCGGGTTCACATCAGCGGCAGTCACGTCCCACTTGAGTACAACATCTTATGGGAACCGCCTAAACAGAACCAGCAGCGAATCAACGAAGACACGCGGGATGTCATCCTGGCAACTGTAGCCACGAAGAAGACGAGTTCCTCCCAAATACAGGAAGTGCTGTCAAAGAAACCTGCAGCCGTCGACTTGCCTGTAGTCCCGTCAAAGAGAAAGATTTGCCGCTTTGTGTCCAGTATGAAGAAGCGACGGAAAAAAGAGGAATTACAACTGTCGTGATAACAGTTTAGATGGTTTTGAATCTGTTAAAGATGATGGTGAAGATGGGTCTGATGGGGAAGGGGCTGAGGGTGGTGACATTGAGGGAGGAGAGATTGAAGGGGATCAAGATTCGGAGGAAGTGATCAATGTTGATGAAGATGATGAAGAAAAGGATAATGTAACGACTAGTTCCATGCCATGTGTTCCGACATTCAAAGGATTCCAAGCAGTGTCGGATGCTGTGGGCTTGGATGAGTCCAACATAGTTCCCTCAGTGACATGTTTCAAAATGACGGACCCAGCTGGTAATGTTTACTTTTCCTACACTAGAAATGTGCCAGCCAATGAGAACACATCGTCTGCAATATTGACCAATCAGAGTGTTTCAGGTAACCCATCTGTAGCCCACAATGACATGGTGCTACAGATATCCTCAGGTGGTGCACAGACTGGGTTTTTATACACTCCCACGGGAGAAGGGGTGGACATGTCAGGGCCAGACCAGAGCAGCTCCGACCAAGATGTGGCAGGCTGTAGTGATCTTGGAGCATTGTTTCTGGCAACATTCAAACCTCAATAAGTAGGCCAGACTGACACATTTTGGTGGAGTGTCTGAAATTAAGAGTAAATGTTCAGGAGTCCTTATTAATCCGGGGAGTCCTTATTACTAAGGATTACAGTTTAACAGAGTCCTTTGATCAAAATGCTGTTGCATCAAACCAGATTGAAACGGAGACTCCTGATAGATTCCAACAGTTTGGGTATGGCCATAGTGTTGAGGACCAGGAGGTTCTGTTTAAGGAAGCTGCATTGTGTTTTTCTGTTATTTTAGTTTATGATTGGTTGTTGTTTAATGCTGCACTCAGCAATATTCCTGTTTATGAGCTGCAATACCCAAAGACCCTTCATAATTTCCAAACCCATCGAATTTGAAGATCCGGGTTAGAATTGATCTTCAGCAAACCAAGCGAATGATGGGATCGAGTGGTACAGGCTCTTTGACTTGGTTGACACATGCCATCACATCACAATTGCGTAGATCGATGCACATGCTGTTGATCACTTGATTATTTGGTCCAGATTCGATTATTTACAGACTGCCACCTTCAGGGGTGGAAATAAGGCTAAAAAAATAAATGTTGTGGTTCCGATTTCCTACATTTCAGAACTAGGGTAGGTAGGTAGGGGTTGTTGTTTTTTTGCAAAATATTTTTACATTACTCATGTGTCAGAAAATAAATTTAATTTATTATGTGGTGAGTAAAATTGTTAGGCTCGGCGGGAATATTTAGGGTCGGACGGGAAATCGGAACCACAAGCTTTTTTTTTTAGGCCTAACTTTAAAATTGCTAGTGTACTCTGGTACAGTGGCATATGTAAAATCACTTGCCCTGATAATTCTTCCACTATACCGGCCGATTTTCTTGTTGATTTTTTAAATAAACAACATTATTAACATTGGCAAGTCAACTGGAAACCGGTACAGCGTGACATACAAATTTGCTAGCCTGACAGAAAATACACTGGACTGGGGCGTCGGGCAATGGGTTATTTCCACCCCTTCACCATATGTCTGGAATATTACGTGGCGTAAAACTAAACTCGCTCACTCACTCATAATTTCATAAGAGGTCAAGGACGTGCTATTATCTGGGGAATCGATATTAGGTTACGGTACTGTTTTTGTTAACATTGATGTGTTTCCTCACAGTTTACAATATTGCCCAGTAACTTTTTGACCACATCAGTGTTCTTTGAATGATATTAACATAGGCAATCAGAGAATTTGTTCCTCTGTACCGTATACAAGATAATGTCTTTAACTGAAGAATGCCATCTGGCCTTTTGTGTACAATGGTGTATGGATTGTACACAACATTGTTCAGGGATGTCTCTATTTTTTGTTTTGTTTTTTTTAATTTAAATACCACACGAAGAAAGGGGTGGGGGAACTCCACTATTGTATTCTTTCATGTGGTTCTCAAGCAGCCCAATGTTGCAATAAGAGGCTCTTACAGCAAATACCCACGGGTAAAAACAGAAGGATATTTGCAAATGTCCAAACTTGCCATGCCTATTATCTTGGCCAGCTAGGGGCGGTGGGGTAGCCTTGTGGTGAAAGCGTTTGCTAATCACACCAAAAAGCTGGGTTTGATTCCACACAAGGGTATAATATGTGAAGCCCATTTCTGGTGTTCCCTTCCCCCCTTCCCCCACTCGTGATGTTGCTGCAAAATTGCAGAAAAACAGCGTGAAACTAAACTCTCTCACTCACTTCACCAGCTGTGTATGATGAGCCCACAAGCTCCTCACAGTGACAGCCTGTAATTATGCTCTCTATACTTTCACTGCCATAGGTGAATTTCAAGAAATTCTCTCTGGGAAATATCTTAAGTGATTCCCAATTCACTACAATTGTATCCCTAAAGACATTCATAAAAACAAAAATGTCACTTCATTTTTCCAATTTTAAATCTGATGGAATTATTTTTTGTTATATCTAATTTCAAACAAATTATCCTCCTTCTCCCAAGAATGAAATGTTCAGTCCCTCAACTCTTCAATGTTGTTGAAAGATGAGAATCTCTAACTCTGTGATTTGGACATGCAGGAGAGTGTTTGTATTGTGATGTGATCACCCCTGAATAAATCATTGCTCACCTTATTAACCACTGGTTTGCCTGCACCAGGTCCTATATGTTGTCATTACACTCACTTATACAATTAACCACTGGTTTGCCTGTACCAGCTCCTGTGTTGCTGTTAGTCACTCATACCATTAACCACTGGTTTGCCTGTACCAGCCCCTGTGTTGCTGTTAGTCACTCATACCATTAACCACTGGTTTGCCTGTACCAGCCCCTGTGTTGCTGTTAGTCACTCATACCATTAACCACTGGTTTGCCTGTACCAGCCCCTGTGTTGCTGTTAGTCACTCATACCATTAACCACTGGTTTGCCTGTACCAGCCCCTGTGTTGCTGTTAGTCACTCATACCATTAACCACTGGTTTGCCTGTACCAGCTCCTGTGTTGCTGTTAGTCACTCATACCATTAACCACTGGTTTGCCTGTACCAGCCCCTGTGTTGCTGTTAGTCACTCATACCATTAACCACTGGTTTGCCTGTACCAGCCCCTGTGTTGCTGTTAGTCACTCATACCATTAACCACTGGTTTGCCTGTACCAGGCCCCTATGTGTTGTCGTTACAGTCACTCATACAATTAACCACTGGTTTGCCTGTACCAGTACCCCTCCTGTGTTGTACCAGCCCTGTGTTGTCGTTACAGTCACTCATACAATTAACCACTGGTTTGCCTGTAGTCACTCACTCATACAATTAACCACTGGTTTGCCTGTACCAGCCCCTGTGTTGCTGTTAGTCACTCATACCATTAACCACTTTTGCTCATGCTTTCAATCAATCGTTCTATGTACTAGATAGCTATGACTATACACTTTATGATATGTTTGGCTTTGCATTCATCTTGCCAAAATGATGAGTGCTTGTGGTGTTTATGTTCATTGGTTAATTTATCTTTAAGTGAAGCCTAGTGAGACAGGACTACTTCAGAACACTCTGTTTGGACTAAGATAAAGAAAAGTAAAATAATGTTATTGCATATCTCAATTACCTGGAGCGATGAGTAGCCCAGTAGTTAAAGCGTTTGCTCATCACACTGAAGACCCGGGTTTGATTCCCCACATGGGTTCAACGTGTGAAGCCAATTTCTCCCACGTCGTGATATTGCTGGAACATTGCTAAAAGTGGGTAAAACTAAACTCTCCCACATTCATTTACCCCGGTACTGTTATTAATTATCATCAGATAACTGAAGTATGTCAAAGGTGACACTAGTTGTGACTCATCAGTATTTCATGTCATGATTAAGCTACCTGGATAGCCAATAGATCAATGGTTGTTTGCCTTGTGATATAAACTCTGGCTACTGTTCATGCTTTCCTACAGTCCAGCTGCAGTCTGTCATCCAATGTTCACTGCAGGGGCTGTTTGTGTCCCCACAGGTCCACCAGTTTCTGTCTCACCGGTCTGAAAAGCCTGAAATGCTTCCAAAAGTTCAACCACATTTTAAATTGTTGACTCTACCAATGAGTTCCTAAACTCTGTATGTTAAAGTTTATTGGCTGTTCCATTGTAAAGCCACTGTTTTCACTTGATGTGTCAGATATTAAATATTGTCTTTACAATTCGTCATGTGTTCGACTTTTATATGTTTAGTTCAGAATGGAAGGTGTGAATCATATAATTTTGAATGTGACATTTAACATTCATTTGCATTGTTGTGACATCAAAATTGAATGCTGATGTCATCTTCAGTTCATCCCTTGCAAGTGTGCTTATGTCTTGGGTCTTCTTGCCATATTCTACACATATATCAGTCCATCGGCATTCATGTTACTTTCAACATGGATGTCAGACTCTCATTGGCTGAGACCCATTCTAGCATTTTCAGTGTACTTTGCTAATGTCATCTCATTTGATGAGATGTGGGAAGGTTGGTGCTAACGGTATCTTTTGTACTTGACATTATGTAAAAATATAATATGGTAATAGTGGCATTAGTGATCTTGGGCTATTATCTCAGAGCTGGACAATTAGATTTGTGTATTTACGTGTAATGCAGAGATTCGGAACATTTTTGTCAGCGAGGCATGGCATTGTATGAACATGAAATGTACCGCTTCGTGACGTCATACAAGACTTAATTTAACAGATAGCATGATAATTACTGCGATCCATGAATCAAGGTTATCCATGAATTTAGTCTACAGCTCTTTAATACAGAAAAACATTACACAAATCTCAGCATCTGTTCAAATTTATATAATATGAATAACTAAGTATCAAAAGGTATGGAAGCTTTCAGAGAAATGATAATTGTCATTGAAAATTCATGGTTTTATGGCCATGTTTTGTTAATTTTAAGCCTCATTAGCTGGTTTATTGCATAGTCACCACTTATTATCACCATAAAATGGAAAGCCCTTATAACTTTGGTTCAACAAAAGGTAGAAAGCCCAACCAGGTGTGAAGCAGTCCTGTGGTTGGGCTGTGAACTCATCTGGAGGTAAACATTGCAACCAGCATGGACAGATGCTTTGACAGTGAATGCAGAGTTGTGTCCCTTAGTCACAAGGGCCATCTGGTCTTGGGTTCAAATCCAAGATGAATTGCAATCAGTGGTTTGTCAGCACCATACTGCTGCTTTCTATTTGAGCAATTATGGGAATTTGTCACACATATGCTGACATGCTTTGATATGACATACCGCTCAACAAACTTAAGACAATGAACAAGAATGGCCAGGGCTGTGTATTGAAAACACTGTATTGCTGTATATTGTGATACACATATTTGTATTGCAATATGTGCAGTGTGATGAGAGCTAAAGTGTTTGACAGTGAGAGTACAAGCAGATCCTATTTACTTTTAAGACTGATTAAGATGCGTATCCCTAATGGTCTGTTGCCACCATTTTGTTGTCATGGATACAATGAAGATAATGCGAGAGAAAAATTGCAATCAATTTTGAGGGCAAATATCATTTGTGAAAGAATTCATGTACAGGTTTTAGTTGAAATGATACAAATAATAATGGAATTTGTCGAATGTATTTTTTTAACCATTATGCCACAATATGTCAATATACCCAAAATGCATTCCAGTCCTATGAATAGCACAGCATCAGGTGCATCATGCATTTCATTTGTAAAGGGTTATCTTAGCAGGTATCTGATATGGAGGATAATGTGGTGCCTGTAGAGTTCATGCTGTATATATATTTGTCAGTACACTTCATTGCCTGCCCTTCGAGAAAACATTCCAAACGTGATATTAAGTTGGTAACGCTGAGGAAGTAACCCGTATTTCTCCATATAGATGGGGACTGATGAGCATTCCAGTCATCATCACCATGGTAATCACCATCAAGAGAAACATCACCATGGACATCACCACCATCACCATGGGCACGATCACCATGGCAACCATGGACACCATCATCACCA